AGAAGCCAGGAAAATGACAGCATAAAAACCTACTCACCTTGAAAAAATTTTTGAAATAGATTTTGAGCCAGAAAATTGGTTCTTTATTCATGCAACAAGACATGTTCAGAAGAGGGTATCTAATCAATCTATTAACATAAAATATTGATTCCTGGTGCTATCTACTTTGGTTATAAATCACTAAATAAAAGTAGCCAGGAAAATGACAGATTTTCATGGGACAAACAAATTATTGACAGAAAAAATTATTTTAAACGAAGTTTTAGTAAACAATACCCTCTGCGTATATTCTAGAAATGCTTACATAGGATAAGATAAAAAAAATTAGATTTTGAAAAATGTATGAGAAGTTTTGAAGCTAGTTATTATTGGAAACTAGGAGGCTCCGCCCCCTGCTCGCTAACCCCCGAGAATTGCTACGCAATCCTATGTGGTTCACGCCGTGAACCATGGCTCGCTGCGCTCGCTCGCCAATGAACACAATGTTCTAGCACAAAGACATAGTATATTATCATCAAAGACATAGTATTTTATCATCAAAGACATAGTATTGTACTTATTCTATTATTAAAGAATTCTATCAATGTTCTTATTGGCATTTAAAAAAGTATATTAGCTATTTAGATTGTACATGGTGAAAAAATCAAAACATTAGCTAAATGAGAAACATATTAGCAAAATAAATTATCAAATATTGCAGTTATTAACCTAAATTCAACTAAATGTGTATAATAAATTAGTTAATGCTAGAAATTCTGAAAGTTTTAGAAAAAATTTTTATTATTTAAAAATATAAACTTTAAACCCTAACTTTTCCTTGTGAGATAATAACCCTCTTTCATTTTCAAGAACACAAAAATTTGTTTTATATCCAAACGAAATATTTTTTGGTGATCAGCATTATTGAAATCAATTTCTATATTAATTTACATTTGTGATAAAGTACATAACATTTTAGAACAAAATAAGTATGTTTTACATACAATAAATTAAAATGCATGGCAGTTAGCATTACCCGAGAAATACCACGTGGAGGTGGCCATGCTGTATTTCTAGTCGGGGAGTTTTGATTTTGGCAATTCCCCTTGCCTACTGCCGATAGAAGTTTCAATTAAATTTTTTCCCAAAATTTTTTTTTTCTGCAAAGCTCTAAGAAATTAACACTAAGCATTTAGAATTTCTTTGAAAACACAATTATAGATTTGGCATCTTGGAGCAATTACTGAAAGGCTGTCAAATGACTTAACTCTTGACAGGCCAACATAAAGTTGTCCATGATCAATTCAACAGCGGCCTTTTAAAGCATTCTCACTTCAATTAATTAATTCCTAATTGAGTTTAAATTAAATATTACCATGTTTTCAGGGCATGACTCTGAATTGAACAACCTGATAATGCTCACTCTGGTTATTGTTTCCATTTCTAAAAGCGCTATATGTTGAGCCAGTTTAAATTAAATATTATCATGCTTTTAGGGCATGAATCTGAATTGAACAACCTGATAATGCTCACTCTGGTTATTGTTTCCGTTTTTAAAAGCGCTATATGTTGAGCCACCTCATCTTGATTTGGCATGTGACATTTTTAGCAGCAATCATTGATCGATTTTCTAACGTTGCCATTCGGGGAGTTGTGATGAGGCTTTTTTTTTTGGTGCCGTATAAGAGAAATATATATATATAGATATTGTTTGGGACATGCCAGGAAAATGACATTTTGATATTCAATTAAATTTTTTAAGTATACAAAACAGTCAATGCTAGTGCAAAGTCATTTTAAAATGCTAACAGCAATGCTATTTATTAATTTTTTTTTTAAAAAAAGTTCTTTTAGTATTATAGTATTAGATCTTGGAGCAAGGGACAGTGAATATCATGTTTCGTGAGAATCACCCATATATATAAACAATAGACTCATTTCAAAATTATTATGAGCCAATTTTATTATTCAGAGTAAGCAATAAAAAAACATCAAGGCTTTATCTAAAGATAAAAACATGGGAATGAAACAGAGTAAGAAATTCAAGAAGATAAAAGAGGTCTGGAAGGAAGTCAAATATGCTATTCTACTTTTCTAACAGTGTACAATTCGAAAGAAAGAAGATGGAGACAAAGATAAGAAGATGGAAATGAAACAGAAAGAAATTCAAAAAGATAAAAGTGGTCAGGAAGGAAGTCAAATATGCTTGATATTCTACTTTTTTAACAGTGTTACAATTCGAAAGAAAGAAGATGGAGATAAAGATAAGAAGATAGAAATGAAACAGAAAGAAATTCAAAAAGGTAAAAAGAGGTCTGGAAGGAAGTCAGATATGCTTGAAAAAAAGGTACATTTTACCCCCTCGAGCCATTAAGATTGAGTCCTAGAACGTGAGGATATGATCAGCAGATCAAAAGTTATTCAGGGTAGTCCGTCCGTCCGCCTTTTTTACTCACCGTACATACGAAGTACCACTATATACATCCATGTAATAATATATGAACGCGCAACGCTCCTTCGTATGTACGCAAATACAAGCAACTTAACTACGTATGCACATAAAGTACCTACACATAACGGGCCATCGTATGTATGTACGTAATTACACACAGCGTTCGTAAGTGTGGGTGTCCGTATTTACATGAAACGTACTTACATATGTATATCTTTATGTTCATAAATATATACATACGTGAGTATGCACCTATGAATAGACACAAATATGTACCTTTGTACACCTAATGTACGTGTGTATTTATGCACGTACATATATTTATGTGCGTATATACACGTTATGCAAAAATTCCCCTTATCTATTTTTCAGAGAAAGTACTCTAACAAGGAGGCATTATTTAAGACTGTTTCGCTCATTTATCACTAAAATGGCATTATTTCGAAATATATCTTTTACCAAATATAAAATTGGAATTCCAAGTTGAAAAAAACTTTACTTTCAATGAAATCAAAACATATATAGTTGTAACATATTTTAGTTTATATTATAGAGAAATAGAATCAAAAGACCAATCTTTTTTGAAATCGAAAGAACAATTTTTTTTTTTAAATATCTTTACACCTGAAATCAATTGAATTCCGTTCTTTTCATTTCAGGTTACAGTACTGGTTTAACCTAGATAATTTCAGCTTCTCTTCGGTACTTGAACACAATTCATAGATTGATTCCACTACAGTTTTATACCCCATTTGTTTTTAGCTAATAATGATATAAACAACATTTACTAATGGTTATTCGTGTTATCAGAAGGTTTTTACTCTCCTTAAATTTTGTTTTTAATTGATTTTACTTTTGCCTTTTAACTTTAATTTGTTTTAACTCATAATTTTTTTTTTTAAACTCGTTCTTAATTTGAGTAACTTAACCTGAATAAGTTCAACTTTTGCATATTTAATAATTAATTATCTAAATATAACATTTACAGATTGTTATTATGTTTTATCTACAAGGCCTTGTAGTATTTTTATCATCTTATTATTCAGTTTATATTTATTATTAACTAGGAACATGTTAATACTCTATATTTTTTTATTATATACTTTATTTTATATTATTATTGCTTACTTTTTATTTTGCCTTTCTTTTTAAGTCATGCAGTGCCTTTTTCACAAAAAGATATCCTTTCCCAAATTCATATTTACTTTATTTTGCAAGCATCCTTTGTAAACCAAAACCATCTCTGAGATCCCCAACTCTATTTAATATGCTTGGGAAGCCACCTGCATTCGGTCAGTTGGGTTGAAATAAGAATTAAGCATTTGAAGGGATGAGAATTAAGTATTGAATATTATACCTCCTTTAATAAACCCTGACGTTTATCCTTGTGATTATAACCAATATTTTCTCCCTTCTGTTTGCCTAAGATGAAACCCAGTGTTTTCTCCTCAAGGTTTCTATACAGCTGTAGGAGTCCTTTTTACTCAAATATATCTCTTCACCCTATCATACATATTAGCTTGTCATTCTTGTTGCCCCATGGAGGAGTCATTTTTGTCGCATGATTTTAGTTTACTTATTTTTCTTCTTCTTACTAATAATATCTTGAACTCCCCCCCCCCCCCNCCTCCCCCCCCCCCCGGATGGTTCTTTTCCTAGAGGCTAATGTTGGTTTTTAACCGCATTGCATTGCTTGAAGGATCGACAAGAAAGATGGAAGTGAGTTCGCATAGTGATTAGAGGTGGTTTCGTTGCCTTATGATAGTGTGTATCCTAGATATTGTGTAATGTCCATCCAAATATTTTACCCATAATGCATGTTACTCTAAATGACCGAAATGGGTGGTTGTTGACTTGACCGGTATGTCCTACACTGTTTTTTAAGGTTCAGTGCCATTGCGCGTTATGCCCTACATCAATGTTTTTTAAGGTAATATGCATTTAACCAACACTCTGAACCCTGATGTTTCTCCTAATCTATCTTCAGCAGATATTAAAATATCGAATAAGTAAAATAATATCAACGAATAAACTAATATCAATATTGACATAGCAAATATTTTGGACTTTCACCCAAGTGATTGTTGACATTCACCAGTGAAAGTCGACATTCTCTTGATTTTGGCCGATCACAGTAACATATCGATTCACAAAATATCTAATTCATAAATTCAATTATGGTATATCTGTTTTGTATCATTAACTAATGGTTATAATTTGCTGTTATACATTAGCAAAATATATTTGGAGCTACTGCATTCATTATACAATTTTTAAAAAAAAGTATTTTCGTTATTGTATTTCTAACAAACGTTATATTATGCAAGTTAAACAAACATTTGCATTTTATTTATTTCGACAAATAAGATATTAAATGTTTTCTTTATGATAAAACTGCCTTAACACTTTCTCCTGGACTACTCTCTCCATAGAAATTTCCTAGACTCTCTTTCAGAGTACAAAATATATGTCATTTATTTAGTTTTCTTATTGTTAATGAAAAAATAACTATTGTATTTTAAATTATATTTTTACTTACATTTTTCAACAAAGGAAGTTAAGAGATAGAAACGGTTTGTAAAGAAACTTTATTAAAAAAACTAATTTTTCCACAGACAGAATGGCAAAGAAAGCAAGATATAAAATTGGTAATAGTACAAATGTAACGTCACATTAGCAATAGGAGCAAATTCAATTGTTAACAAAAATTTCATGACAAGATGAATATTAGTTGAGTTTACAAAACGTTGTAAGAAGAAACCTTACAATTACATAAATCAAACCAGACAAACTCTGTTCAAGGATTTTTCTTATGCTTGAAAATCCCAAGACAAATTTTATTTGAGGTTGTTACATCGAAGGTTGTTTCCCTAGGTTTTGGCTTAGGGTAATGTGCGTAGAACAGAGCAGAATGACACAGATCTTGCTTCAAATTTCGAAGATTTACACGTAAACGGAATAAAAAACCCTTTTCAGGTTTACATGAAAAGGTTTTTAACAAGTGAAAATAAACCTTAGTTTGCTATCTGGGATATTAGCTACATACATTCAGTGGAAGTTTTAAGGTGAAAATGGGAGAGATTTCAGTGTTCTGCAAGTATGTTGCTGTAGTAGTTTCTAAGAATTTAAGGTCATCATCCTTCTAAAAGAATGTCTTTCTCAATATGAATTCCGTCGAATCACGTATTTATTTATTGTTACACATGCATATGCTTGTGTGTTTATTACAAGAACAGCTTATAAGTCCTGACGAATATGTAAAATTAGAAAATATCTATTCTATGAAACGTTATATTAAAAGGGATTCCTTTTTCTCAAACGGCAAAGGTAAATCAACATTTAGCTTTGCATTTCTAGCATCGCAAATAGTCAAATCTTGAGATCAATCTAATTATGACTATTTGTCCTCAATCAACCTCAACTTGTGTCAAAGTGGAACACTTAAAATCTGAAACACTCAAGTCGTTTTTCTATTTGATTGACAATTACTCTTTTCTTTCTTTTTTTAAGAGCGTAATTTAAAAAAAATGTCTATTTAAAAAATATCTGGTAAAACGAGTAAGGATAAAACGTGCTTGAATTATTTTTGACTAGAACACAGTTAAATTAACTACAGAATAAATCTTTCTTGTTTGCAAATCACATGAGTGGATGGCTTTTGGATGTTCGACATAATCCCTGTAGCTTTTAAAATGCTATCTAACCCCGTTTTTGCACTAACTTTCATTTCTCAAGAGCTAATCATCAAAGTATTTTGTTTAGATTCAGTCATCAAGGACAGGACACTGTCTGCACTAGTTCTACGTCTTCCAACTTTCAGTGGTGTTATATCAGACGGGAGTTTCACAATAGGAGGTAAAAAAGAAACCCAAACGAATGATAGTTCTAATTCTTCATCGTCACTATTAACAACAGATGCCTGACGAGCGCTCACATTGTCGTTTACCGTACAATTGGTAAGCTGAGATTTTTGCAAGGTCTCATCTGTCACATGACTAGTGTCGGTGAAGGAGTCTCTACTGTAAAGTTGTTCCGCGGAAAGTTCTTCGTCTCGTTGGTCATGAACTGTAAGTATAGATGGAGTGTCAGGCTGTTGGAGTTTTCCTGCGATATGTTCATCACTTTGATCATCAACTACAAGTAGGGATGACGTTAAAGTCTCACTTTCATCATTAGGAATCAAATTTTTGGCTTGAAGAATTCTTAAAGTAAGGTGTTCAAAAATCTAAAAAAATATTTTTAAAAAAATGAATGATAGGCATTTCCACGTATGGTGAAAGATTGCTTTTATTACATACAAAACTAAAATGAAACGAAAGAAAAAAAGGCAAGTTATGAGCAGAGGACTTTGATTTACTTTCTAAAGTCTCCCATTTATTTCTTTTTGTTACCCAGTTGACAAAATTTATTTTAAATGGGTCATTTTTTAATTTATTTAAAATTTGTAGAACTAGATTTATCTATGCTGGCATTATCTTGTTGAAAACCTCCCTTCAGCCCAGGTAATATAACTCTGAAATGGAGTAAATCGCTTTCCTGGTGAGCTTTGACACTCAACTGAGGTTAAAAGAACCACATCGAATCTAAAGGAACCCCTCACCATGTACATAGGTCCACCATGGTGTCTTATTAAATGCAAAATTTTGGCTCTTCCTTAGTTTATGACAATAATAATTATTCTTCCCTTTAACATTAAAATTACACAATTATCACATATTAATCAGGTCATGTGATCCGTTTGATACATGCGTGTACTTGAGGGGCAGAATCTAAATTATGCATATCGTTTAAAACAAATCAATTCAGGCCATCTTGAAACTTTTGATGACATGAACTAATCTACGTCTGATATCTCTTGAAATAATATGACCCATTTGGTTTTGATATGATTGGTGACATAATTTTGGTCAAAAGCATATTTTTCAGTGTCTATCATTACAATAATTCAATTTGAATTCACTAGTATATAAGACCATGTTAACTCAATTCCACTTTTCATAAAAGAAGGTTGACATTGTTGGACACTCTCTCCACATTGGTGACCTGGGCGTAACCTGACCACACCTACCTTGACAGCAGTGCCCATTTGGCATTCGCATAGCGAGGGGGGAGCAAGGGGGGGCATCATGCCCCGGGCGCTACACACAAAGGGGCGCCAAATGGTCAGCAAAACAAAAAAAATTGTTGGATAATTTTTATTTTTATTATAATTTATTTCTGGAAAATATATTTTAAATTTAGTGCCGGTGAAATATAATAAATGTTAATTTGTAAATAAAAAGGAACACTAATCGAACTGTAATAATATATTCATAATAGAAATGACACGTCTTTTCCACTGGGCTGACTAGACTTGTGTCTGTCAGCACTTCCTTATGGCATCTACGCTGTGTGGTTACATATATTATCTCCAAATATTTGCAGTGTACAAAGTACAAACATTCTTTCTTTCAGAACACTATTTATTTTTGTTTCTATAAACGCAGTGTAGCTTACGCTTGTTATTTTAAAACGATAACAATAGCACTCTAATGTACTTATATGCACAGTCACGGAAAAAAGTATCCCGAAAATAACAACTAAAAGATTGTCTATTTTTTAATATAGATACCTCTTAGACGCACAACAAATACAGCATTTTGCTGTTTCTAGGAAAGGACACAAACGCCGTATTTGTTGTGTACCTGAGAATTATCTGTTTCAAAAAATAAATGATTCTTTATTTGTTACTTTCCGGATACTTTTTTCCGTGACTGTAGATATCCGTGACACTTGCAACAGGTTGTGGAATTCCGCTACAAGTTAGGTAAATACCCGAAATATTTATAAGTTTAAGTTATTTTGTGCCTGTATTTTTCAGTTTTGCGTCACTGTCATCGTGCTCTGCTTAGAATAAAAATGAAATGTTATTAAATGTTATAAGTTTAATGTTAGCATAAATTATAGTGTATATTTCACTGTATTGCTACCTTTCAAGTTTAAGGCATTCTTGGTTAGTAATAAAACAAATAAGATTACTTACTACATCTACTCGACGATTCTATTATTATTCAGTGAATAGGGTATGAAAAAATTTGAAATGATCAACTTTGATGATATTATTGATAAATTTGCTTCATCAAAAGCGGAAAATTTATACATAGTAATTAGTTTTATTAATGTATTATAATCATATTATTAAATATATGTATCTCCTTAGAGATAATAAATATTTACTTTTTTATTGTTTTAAAACTGCGTGTTTTTAAAATATTTCTTTATAAATATGTAAAATAAATAATAGGTATCTTTTGAACTAATTCTAGATGATCATATACATTTCAAAATCTAGTCTTGTTTTCTAAACTACATTTTTTGTCTCAAATTTAATGCCTAGCTTGAGCCTATGACTTTATTTATTTTACTTTATTTATTGATTACTTTGCGAGTATATTTTACTTATAATATTAGATGGTTTTCGAATGGGGAGGGGGCGTTAANGGGGGGGGGGGGGGGGGGGCGCTGAAAAGGTATTGTGCCTTGGGCGCGAGTTAAGCTCGCTACGGCACTGCCATTTGGATTTGAGCATGCCTACTTCAATAGATGGTTCACAAGGAACAGTCGACTTGCTACTCGCGACCGCGATACTCTCCACTTGCTCACGCCATCACTACTCAGTCTCGATCACACACAGCCTATTTCAATTTTTTCAGCTTATTGCTTTCTACTTTACTTACAATTTTTTTCTATTTGTTCATTATATTTACAGTAAAATAATTTAAAAAAAATCTGCATCATTTTAAAATTTACAGAAGTATTCTAAGTGAGCCTAATTTTTGGGCACACTGTATCAAGACATACCTTTCTAAAAAGAAAACTTAATTCTCAAAAGTGCAGCCACTGGCATTTTTATTGGTAGAGCATACACAGTGGATATTTGTGAATGATGGAGATTTGAAATTTTTTTTATTAAATGCTATATCATCTTGATACAGCAAAACAACTGAAAAATAATTAACTATAGTACAGCTTGAATTTAGAAAGGTGACAATGTGCATTACCTGTGCACAATGACATAGTGATGCGACAACTACTGAGACAAAATTATACGTGCCTTTTATGCAAGTCCAATAATTACATGCACACGGAATGATGAGTGCGCTCCACAGGCTTCTTTGGACAACCAAACTCGCCCAAAACGTTGAATATTAAAATATATAAAGTTGAGGTAAATAATTATAAGCGTACTAATTTAAGAATTTTTCAAAAAATTAATATGCATTTTCTATGAATTTGTACAGTTCAAGATTTCATACCACATCATGATACTTGTTCAATAAACAGTTCACTGTATTATAAGTGTGCAGTGAGTATTTAATTCTACTTTAAATTTTTTTTATTTCATAATAGTAATTTTTTTATGAAAGTTGAAAAGAAAACGAAAGCAACTTTAAACACATTATTAAAATAAATAGTAAATTTCAGGCAATGTTGCATAAAAAACAGTTTGAGATTTATAATAGCAATATTTATTTATTTATAATTGTTATGAGTTTTTCTTTTTTTTTAATTTGTAAAAAATAAAATAAAAAGTTCTTACTCTTACAACACTGTCACCATTTTTCCCACTAGATTCCATGAATTCTAAATCCTTGTCTCTTGTGAATCTCTGGGCTATGTCACGTGATACAGCAATACTGTCTGGGTGGTCCACCTTATTTCCAACTGTCCAAATAATAAACAGTTATAAAAATTTACTCATGGATATTTTATACACTAAGAACCACTTAATATAGATGTTAGGAATCTTACTGGTGGATTTCTTTATCACTAAAATGATACGAGGAAACATATAAAGTTGACTACCTTTAAAAGTTGAAAACCTGTCTAAGTTATTGGCCTCTATTATCAAAAACTACATTTATCTTTCAAAATAAAAGAGAGCAAGCCCTTTGTAACTTGTTAATCCTTTTTATTGATGGCTGAAATAAGTAAAATGTGTTTTGCAGTGTTATTGAATGCTATTCTAAATTATTCATAAGTTGACCAGAAAAATCTCCTTTAGGAACTTTTAAATTCTAAATCATTCATAAGTTGACCGAAAACAATCTTTTAAGAAATTTTCTACTCAAAACTATTCATAAGTTAACCAAAAAATTCCCTTAGGATGTTTTCTATAATTTTATGTTGTATATTAAAATTTTGTTGAATTAGTTAAATAATGTTAAATGGTAACCTTAACCCTTTAGAGGGTTGACTGTATGGAAGAACTATATTGAGAACTTCTGAAACAAATATATTTGCAAGCATACATAACAAACTAAATTTGAAAGTCTTGAAATGAACAGGATTTTGTTAATTGCATATACACGCTCTTGTGTAATTATTTTTCAAATAAAATATTTTAAGAAATTATTGAATTAATTTTATCATTTGTACATTGTAAGGAATAATTTATTGCTTAGTCAAGGTTGCATTTGTTTCTTTTATTCAGAAGAAATAAACTGTCTTTGACTATCTTGATTGTAACAAATATTTTCTTGTGAAATTTTAATAAGTAATGTTAGTAATAGATAGCTTTATTTCTCCTAAACAGAAGAAAGGGAATTCTTTACTTACACTAGTACCTTCTATTCTCTGAATTATAACTAAATATAGAGCTGGCAACTAAGTTCCCTAAATTTCTTTTTTCAAATATTTTAAAAATTTAAAGGGTCAGAACATTCCATTTACTTTGCTAGTTTCCTCGTCGTTTGTCAAGAATTTTAATGCATAAGTTGAATTAATCACTGTTCTTCGAACTCAAGTGAACAGTCAGTACCAGATGCCTCTTTGAAACATTTCCATTTTTAAACAAACTTGCACCAAACACGAGTGTGTTTTTTTAAACGAGGCACTCTCTCCTACACAACACAAATGCCACGAGCAGCTTTCTAGCCTTTAAAATCTTAGTTAAAAGAAAAAAGGGGGGTCAAAAATGCTAATTTTTAAAATTTTATGTTCCATCATAATGATATGGAAATTAACGTATAGTATTTAAAACAAAACAAACTATTCTTTTTCGAATGATCTGAAACATTACGCCAGAAACATTTAATGGCATGGAAAATGCTAAACTTTAAAAAAAAAAGTGGTATTAACTCAATAATAAGATTTATTTTTATGTATTTAAAATCAGCCAAAAGTGATAAAGACCTACGAGGGTGACAGCCTCATCATTTTTTCGCTTTAATTGTGCCAGCCAACCAGAAAGAGCGTTGAAAGTCAGCAGGCATGTGGTGTCGTAGACCAAGAGGACGCCATCGTAATAGCTAAAATGGAGAAATATTTTAATTTTCAAATGAAACACTGTATCACACAAGATGAAGAATGTTCCTCAAATAAATTTTAAATTATGGTCATAAAAGAGTTGGCCATGAGAAAGTTAAGAGGAGTATCGCGAGAGAGATACTTCATAAAAAATTCACCTACACAATTTATTTAAATTTTGAGAAAAGAGAGTTGAGGAAAACCACGACATTTCAAATGCTGGAAAAAAAATTCAAAATGCAAACACATTATGGCAGGATTACGCAGTGGGGAGATAATCCTTCATTCATATTTGGGATTGGAAGGGTTTCTGCCGAGTTGCAGCTTCTTCTTTACAAGACTGCTTATGAGACCCCAAGAAGCTTAGCTTGCAGTCACTGTTCTTTATCAGGTAAAAGTGATAAGATATAAAAAGTCAACCATTTATATAAAATTTCAAAATCATATCGAATAATTTAATTTAAGTTTTCATAAAATTCATTAGCATACGAATGTATAAATTCATAGAAATCAATTCTCAAAGTTTGGAAATCAATTTTAATTTAATCTTTTATCCCACTGGGCTGCTGCCGAACTCCTCTCACCTGTTTTTTTTTATCACCCTTTATTTTATTATCTTGTTCATCTGTCCCTATAGATGAAACCACTTTATAAGTGTTAGTCTTTTTACTTTTCTACTGTCATTTGGTATTTACACATTGAGGAAGATTCTTGTTTAAAGAACCGGAACTATAGTATGTCCATTTCTGTACTTTTATTTGTGTTTTATTCATGTTATTTTTTACTTTAGTTTACGCAGCAAAAAGTATATCCTATCCACTTCTTAGAAATTTTATAAGTCTTCAATAGATGTCTGAACCAGATTTAATGTGAACTAAATGAATTAGTGTGAATAGTTTTTCTTTAAAAAAAAACTTCATTATTTGTAATAGTGAAACAAACATTTAATAGCAGTTCTCAAAATGTAAAACGCAGAATTAAGCTTTGACAATCTTTTAAGTCTAAATTTAATTCACATGAAACATTATTGTTAGAAACTTACTTGGTGGCGACATGCTTGAACCACCGTTGACTTGATGTTTCCCAGATACAGAGTTTCACTCTTTTTCCTTTAACGGTGAGTTCTTTTGAAGTAAGGTTAGCCTCAAAATGATTAGCTAAAAATAAATTAAAACACTTGAGAAAATGCCATAAATACTATAATGTTGACATCAAAGTGCAATTATTGATGACAAAAAACTGACTACATAAAGTGTTCAAAAATAATTTAAATTTCTTTTTACAACAATCATTAGGTAGGTATTTTATTTATGTCACACTAGAGCTACACAATAGGCTATTGGAAATATCCCTAAAGATGACTTGGGATCCCATCACAATCTTGATCCACTGCTGAGGGGATGGCTCCCCTGTTTTGGTAGCCCGATGACCTGAGAGTGAAGTCGAACACTTTACGGTAGAACTGTTTAGCAAAGACCAATACCGCACACCCTTGGTCTCTATACAAGCTGATCAAAGTGGTCACACACCCGCTTACCGACCCCAGCCAGTGATGCTTGACTTGGGTGTTCTTTTTTATTATCAGTCAACTGCAAAAAAATTTCGGAAGGAAAATGAGAAAATAATTTCAGATTTTGAAGCAAATTGAGCACAAATTAAATACTTATCTACCTTCCTACTTCATTTCCTTTAAATGAGATAAAGTTATGTCATTTTTTATTCTGTTATCCATTAATTTATATGCTTTTTCGTACTGATTAAATGTGAGAGAAGCATTCTCCTAGCATTTTAAACTTTAATAGCACGGAAAGGCAAAGTATCAAATAGGGAAAAAAAATGAAACCGGATTGCACAAAATAATATGAACACTGTTATGTCAGTTTTATAGACTCAGTATTTCTTTTCTGGGGGATGGGAGAGGCAGGAGTGTCAGTCAGAAATTTTTTTTATGATATTATAACAATTATTAAAACAAGTGTTCCCCATCATGAACATTAAGAAAAGTTTGTTTATAAATAAACTAAGTGGAAAGGCATGCATATTCTCAGGCTCTAATATTCTCAGAATTACAATATTAAAGAGAAAAAAAACATTAGTTTTTGCTTTATAGCATTTTTCTTTTCTTTATAAAATTTTAGAATTTAATATATGGACTGTCTAATTTTTCTTTTGTACTTGAGTCTGCTTCCAAAAATTTTTTATCCATTGTACACTTAAGCATCCTGTGACAATTCTGTTACAACAAAAATAATTTTGGAAAGTTGCTTGTATTTTTTATCTTTTTTTTAAAAAAATTATCAAATTTTTATTATTTAATATGTTTATTACATTTTATAATTATATATACCTTTTAACTAAGAATGAAAATCTTTTTTTAAAAAAAATTACAATTTGAATACAACACTTACATTTAGACGTCGGATTGGTATAGATATGAGTCATAGAAGTTTTCCCAACGCCTGCAACAAATATATAGCATGAATACTAATTTATTAACAAATAAAATGTTATTTACAAATTGAACAAAGCAACCAGAGGACATTTAAACTTATTCAACAATTCAGGTAAAAAAATGTAGACATACGAGGCAAATATAAAATGCATAAAAACAAGGCTCCATTGCCTGCTCGCTTCACTCAACATATAATTCATAATCATTAATTAGTCCTTTAAAACAGGGTTCCTTAACCTGTGGTTCATGGACCCCCTAGGGGTTCATGAGTAATATTTTGGGGGTCCATTGATAACTCCTATTTTTAAAACATTTGGATCAATAATATTTAAATAACATTAATCTTTTTTTTTAAAGGGAAAATACATACATATTTGAAACTAGATGATTTGTGAGCGGCAAGTCACCCCGCAATCACGATACCCCAAATTCTACACGGACTGCACACCTCTAATATCCCTGTCCTATTTTTAACATCCTCCACCAATCGGCTTTCAGTTTGCACCATCAGGGGCAACACCCTGATGACATCCCCTTTCAAAGTTTAAAAGAATGTTACCTCAAAATTATCAATTATCCCAACTAAAAGTTCAAATTTTTTTTTTCATTCACACAGATTTCAAATAAGTTACTATTTCTATAAGAATAAAATTAATCCTGATTTTTTATTGAATAGAAATTTTATAACCGTCGTGGAACAGCCGACCCGATTCAATCAGTGTTGAACATTAGTGATTTGCGACCACTTATGTTCAACTCCATAGCCTTGTAATTTTGAACCCAATACAGAAGCAAGGTAACTCCAGGATCAAGTATTGGGAGAAATTTGCCTTCGTGGAGGACTTTTTAATGGAACTAACCCTCATTTACATTACATAGAGAGGAAAACCACGAAAACATGCCACTGTTAGCCTGATGGCAAGGAGACTAACCCCTGAACCCGTCTACCACTGAGGATATTTTACATCAGCATTGTTGTGAACCGGGTGCGGAAATCGTATCAACCAGCCAGTGTTAGGGTTCAAACCCATACCTCATTGAAAGGTGAATGCTCTATCCCCTGAGCTACCATGTCTCATTCAATAAAAAATACAATTTCATTCATGAACTTATCTTTTACATGCTTGCTTGATTTTCGATTATTATAAAAAAACTATTGATTATTATAAAGACTTTACGCCAAATAGATTATTTAGCATTAGTGCGAAAAACCGATTTTTAATATTGCTTCAGAATTTTCAATAGTTTGTATTCATGATTTTAATTACATATGTTGACCGAGTGCAGCTTTTCAGGAATTTTTTTTATTGAATGACACATAATTTATTAAAAAGTAACAAGGGCCCCCGCAGAATAATATAAAACCCTCTAACAATATATATAACGTTGTTGCCGAGTGGAAGGATTAAAACAGGTCTTAGGCAGGGAAGGAGGGTACAAAATTTATTTATTAATTATTAGACAAAGCAGTCATGAAAGTGTGTATGAAAAGTTGTGTTTCTTCATTATATGTTAGAGAAGATCTTTCAAAGTAAAATCCGTAAAATGTTTCAATTTAGGGAAAGAGGGAAATCTTAGTAATTGTAATTGGTTTATCAAATAGGTCAAACGATTCTCACAGAGTGCCAAGGGAAAAATATCCTGCTTTTAATTGATGCATAGTTGAGCCAAAAATATATTTAAGGACAGGATGTGAATTTAAAAAGAATTTCGTTTTGAATAATAAAATAAAAAAAAATGATTTACAGAGAAGAATAACATAAAAAGATTACATATATTATGTTATTACATTTTGTTTTGTTATTACATAAACTTTCATCTGTTAATTTTTTCAAGATACATTTCTTCATTGTTATCAAGATATTTAAAAAAAAGTACGAATTTCTTGTACTTGCAAATTTTGCCACGAGAAACTGTATTGGTGGCGCTGGCATAGCTACTGACTTTGAAACACAAATAACTACAAACAGTAGTTTCATATACTAACGTGTTTGTGCACACTTAACATTGGTATTTATTGTGTTGTTATACAGTGCGTAAAAAGTTTCCATACGGTCACTAAATTTAAGAATAAATGAGCATAATTTGAAAAGTATTGCATTTTTTTCCTTAAATACTGTCTATATGTGTTTAGTATAAGTCTATAGAAAGAGATTTTTATAAATTTTCATTTTTACAAAATGAGAAAAGCATATTATTTGCAATATCTAAGGAAAATTGAAAATTCCAGTGCAAAAAAAGTTTCCGTACGCGTTATGCAAATTCTTTCTGACATGTTTAAAACAGGCCCACAGTAAATCTTTGACTTTAGAAAGTTAATCGTTAAAGTTGATCGTCTCAAAATGGAAGTTTCCAGAGCTATTTGGGAGTTAGTGATTAAATTGCAACAGGTGGGGGAAAGTGGTGGTAAAATCAAGGTTTTTTTGGAAAAAGCCTTATAACAGTAAGTTTAAAGCACTAGATATCAGGTTTTTAGTAGATATTATATACATTAGACTTATATAGGTTAGAAATATTGTGTTTATATAAAATTTTGCCAAGAAAATTTCTTGTAGATTCATTTTAAAATAGGCATGTTTTGATACCACCACTTTCCCCCATGGTGGGGTAAAGTGGGGGTACAATATGCTTTTTTTTATTATATCTTCAAAATTTAACTGTGAAATAAAGGAAACACTATGAGATTTACATTCAAATCTATATTCAAAGTATCCAATTTACATAAAATTTCTTACATAGTTTTTATTATAATTACTGATTAAAAAAATAATGTCCACGACTGTCAAATCTTGGTTTATCTAAAATGTGAATAATGCTGCTAACTTCCACATTATCTTCATCATCTAATTCTGGGAAAGTAAAATAATTTCCCAATTTAGATTTACTAAGATATTTAACATGATATAGATCACCATTTTTCTCAACAACTTGCCCGATAAATGAGCACATCATATTTCTTTTGGAATTGTATTTTACCTCAAGCCATGAACCTTGATTGATTTTTCTGGTATCGAGAGGAGTAGTAGGACTGGTGACTTTTTTTATTTTTTTATCAGACCTTTGTTGGTCTTTTCGTTTAGGAACCTGGCCTAAATTGCATTTTTTCTTTCTGTCTTCTTCTTCCATTGCTAATCTTTTTAAAACATTCTCTTGAGTTAAAATTTCCCCAGATTTGCTTTGCACCCTTTTTCTTTTTTTCTTAGAGTTATCCATAGCTAGAACCGTGTTTGCAGATGGTGTAGGAGATACTGTCAACAGAATTGCCTCTTTCAAATCTTTCATAGGTGAATCTAGTAGTGCAGAAACTTTAGAAGACGCCGAGCTCTTATTTGTAGCTGCAACTGTTGGATTATTTTCTGTAGGAATTATACAATGTTGAATGGCATTTCTATTGAGAGGATAAAGACCAGTCCCTCTAAATCCATTTACAGCATTTGTTGCCTTCATTTTTTCAAATAATTTCTTTAGAAGAAATGGAAAAGTTGCTTTGGAAACATTTTGCAACCTGCTCTCTCGATACCAAGTTTTTAATACATCCCTCCACGAATTTTTCATTGGTGAAAAAACTCCAACATCTAGTGGTTGAAGTGCATGGCTGCTATTAGGTGGGAGGCATAGTAAAATAATACCATTATCCATGGCTAGCTTAATGGAATTATATGTTAGGTGACTTCCATGGCCATCATATATTAACAATACCGGCTTTTTAAAGTTTTTGACGAAATCAATAAAAAACTTCATCCACGTTTCAAACAAAAAATCCTGCATCCAACCAGACTCTGTGCACCCGTAAAGAGTTCCTTGTGGCCCTCCAGTCATCCAGGATTGATATAAGTTCTGTCCTTTGTAGACAACAAAAGGAGGTAAATATTCGCCAGCAGCAGATATGCAAAATAATACTGTATACATGGCCTTACCACAGTCGGCAGACTTTAAGTAAGCTGTTCGACTTTCCTTCTGGACAAAAATCTTGCTTGATCTAGGATCAGTAGACAACCCTGTTTCATCCAAATTGAAAATCCTTCCTGGCTCCTTAAGCAAACCATTGCTAAGCAGTACATTTTCATATATGTTAAAGAAAGCATTTGCTGTTTCTTCGCACATGTCTTTAGCTCTGGCTTTCGTTAAAAGTTCTGGCTTTCTTTTCCCAATTTCTCCTTTCCATCTCTTTTCAAATCCTCTCACCCATTCGATTCCTGGCTTTCCATTAGGAAAGAGATTGCTGAGCTCCTTATTGCTTAGCAAGTATGTTTCAACAACATTAAGAATATCTTTTTTGTCGAATGGAAATCCACATTTTGACAGAAATTTCACAGCTTCAACGATGCATTTCTCTTCTTCCTGACTAAGAAAGGGCGATCGGCCAGGTCCTTGATGCGATGGACTTTAACAATCCACCTCCTTAAAGTTTGTTCAGGAATACCATTTTTCTTGGATGCAGAATAAATCGATGCTCCATTTTTAACTTCTGCTATAGCCATCTGAAGATCATTTTGTGTATACTTTGGACCACTAGTCTTTTTTATGTAGTTTCTAGGCATACTTAAGCTGGAAAAAAAAATTACATGTCAGTGAACAGTCACACATTAAAATTATCTAAATTGAAAAAAAAGAATTAAATTTATTCTAATGATCTTAAAAAATATTCTAAATCATGATTAAATATGTAAAAAATAACTTTTAATTTAATTGTATTATCATATTTTGATTAAAATTTATAAATAAAGCCTATTTTTTTAGAATAATACTTTTATTACAGCCCATTTTTAAAAATTAATCACATCTACAGTCTAAAATTGAATCATCATACAACATTGAGCTAAGCCTAACTATACCACCACTTTCCCCCACCTCAGAAAAAAAATCATAAAAAATTGAAATAATAAAATAATTCTTACCTTGATGCATGAATCTGTTTTTAAGAAGTTCTTCTACTGAAATGTATCAAAATATACTAATTTTTTCAAGTGAGAAAGGATCAAGAACAAAGTTTATCAATACCATGTGTTAAGAACAAACTGCACATATATGTAAACAAGAAGATAAACAACAGTAAACTGGTTGACAGATTTACAAATCTTAATAGAAATATTTGTCACAAACTCCAATTATGTATTAATTGAAAAAAAAGAAAAAATATGTACATTTATTGTGAAAAAAGGGCATTTTTTAGATTACCACCACTTTCCCCCATCCCACCACTTTCCCCCATCTGACCCTATGGATTATCCATGAAATGGCTTAGTGAAATGACTAAAAAATCGAAGTCTACTGTGCAATATATCATTGAAAGATATTGTAAACTTCATTCACTTGAGGATAGAGATCGATCCGGAAGGCCGTCCAAATTAAATCGCGTGCATAACGCCAAGTTCAAGAAAATCCACGAATTAGTGCACCACGGTTGGCAGCTGATTTAATGGTTAGTTACAACATTAAAGTCTCAACTCAAACCGTGAGAAATGTCATTAAAAAAAGTGGTTATCATGGACGTGCGGCCCGGAAGAAACTCTATATAAACTTATGCAACAGGAAAAAGCGTCTCGAGTTTGCAAAGAAACATGTAAGCAAGCTATTATCTTTTTAGGAATTCATTCTTTTTAGTGATGAATCAAAATTTAACATTCATGGGTCAGATGGCCGAGTTATGGTGTAGAGAAAACCAAACAAACAAATGCTAACTAAGAATTTATGCGGAACTGTGAAGTACAGTGGTGGCGGTGTATGAGTGCTTCTGGAGTAGGAAATTTGCAATTCATTGAGGGAACTAAGGATTGATTTGGATATCTGGATATTCTTAAACAAAATGTGTTATCCATCTCACAAGGGAAACTAGGGAAATGTGACTCGTCAATTTTGAAATAAACTAGTGGGATGTATGCCTTATGAGGAATAATTTTAGGGGGCAACATTCGTTTCGGCCCATAGAAGGTCCTGTGAGAGATAAAAAATAATTCAATATATAGAAAAATCGATGTTTTATTACTTCAATGCACACTATTAGTTATTATAATTATCTCATACTCCAATTAATTTTGTGGTACTTGCTTTCACGTACTATATAATGCATATTTATTGTCAAAATTGATTTTGAAAATTTCATATATCTGTAGTTTTTCAGAAAAACCTGTTAGGTCAATTTAAAAAAAAATTTACATCAAATTTTTTTAATTTTTTTTCCCAAAAATTTTTTCAAATTGATTGGAGTATGTAAATGCAAATCAATTAATTAATTAAGAATTAATATTTAATTAATAATTCATTTATTAATTTGCTAATTGATTTATTAATTAGCAAATTAATTAATTAACCAATTAATTACAAATTAATTGGAGTATGAGACAATTACAATAACTAATAGTCTGCATTGAAGTAATAAAATACCGATTTTCTATATATTGTATTATTTTTTATCTCTCTCAGGACCTTCTATGGGCCGAAACGAATATTGCCGCCTAAAATTATTCCTCATAAGGCATACATCCCACTAGTTTATTTCAAAATTGGCGAGTCACACTTCCCTAGTTTCCCTTGTCAGAGAAACTATCTCTTGGAACTGGATTTACTTTTCAGCAGGACAACCGTCCGAAACACACCTCTAAGATTTGATAAGAGTGGTGCCTTTACCAGCTTAAACAACAACTTCATAGCCCTCCCCAGTCACCCGATTTAAACCCATCGAACATTTGTGGGAAGAAATTGGCCGACAACTTAAAAAATATGACATAAAAAACAAAGTTGAACTCAAAAGTGCCATTAGTAGCATTTGGTGTAATATTTCTCCAGAAACAACAAAAAAACTTGTAGGAGTATTGCCAAAACGTCTAAGAGAGATGATAAAGGCCAAAGGAGGGCCCAGTGATCATTAAATGCATTTTTGTAAACTTTTTACGTGTGCTTGGGCACCGTATGGAGATTTTTTTGTTCCATGTTTACGGCATTTTTTGAGTTTTTAAGATTTATTATTTAATTTTGTCAGTATTATCATCCTTTTAAAATAAATAAATATTAGTTTTAACACATTTTTAATTTTTCATTTTATCATTATGAATTTTGTGTGACAAATTAAACTTTGATTGGCATTTGTATCTGCGTACGTTGACTTTTTTTACCCACTGTATATACTATGTATAAAGATCTGCTCTCACCGAATTTCATCACAGAAGCAACAACGTGGCATGAAATGTGGAGGAATAGAGAAAATTCTTATGAATCCCTCAAATACATTGATTTAGTTATTGAGGCCATACCTTTTATCCAGCTGTAACGGAGGCAATTAAAATTAGCCTAACTCTTCCAGCTACTACAGGCACTATTGAATGCACTTTTAGTACAATGCGACGCATCAAAACATGGAATCGGTTTACAATGACTCAAGAGAGATTAAGTAGTTTGTGCAAGATCAGTGTTCATAAGAAACGAATCAAAGATGACTCAGAATTCATTGAAAAAGTTGTCAACAGATTTGGACAGCAAACAAGACGATTACAATTCTTGTTTGATTAAAGAATTTTTTAAATGTTATGTATCGATATTTACTTAATTATTTGTTTTTCAATAAAAATATTTTTTATATAATTTTTTTTATAGCAAACTTGTTTTTCTGTATCTCAAAATTGTTTTTAAAAAAAAAAAAAAAAAAAAAAAAAAAAAAAAAAAAAAAAACAGGGGGCGCGAGTGCTTCTCCTTGCACCCCCTGCCGGTGCCCTCGAAAAGTAAATATCCCTTAATTACCATAAAAAATTACAAGACATTGACTAAGTACCTTCATTATAAACTTTGCATTAATAGGTAATACTAAACGATTACTTTTTACAAGCGATAAATAAAACAAGGCTCACTTTTAAACTTAACATTTTGAATTATAATAAAAATTGCAGTAATAAGAGGGAATAAGATTAATAAGTGATCAAGAGAGTCTAAAAAGGTGAGTACAATCACAAATATAATAAAAGAAAAATTCAATATTAAAAAAAAAAAAAAAAATTGGACAGAACTGAATTTTAAAAAAAATTACATTGAATTGGAAAAATTAAATTGAAAAGGAAGAAAGATTACAAAACTTTAAATTCAAGTTTTAAATTCATTTTTAAGTAAATGTAAGCAGATATTATTCTGTGACAAAAGATTTATTATTTAAGAAATTTTAGAAATGGGGAATGTAAAAAATATATAAAACTTGAATGATTTTAAACTTTATAATTAAATTCATATGTAAAAATAATAATTATATTAGTGATAGATTAAAAGATTTAATATTTTATAGTTATCAAATGGATGCCTAGGGCTTCTGTTGTAAAGAAAAACTATGAAATTTTGCTCTAGGTTGTTTTTTTAAAGAGGTCATTTTTTAAGAAATTTTAAAAGTTAAAAAAAAATTGTTCTTAACAACAAGTAAATAGTTAAGTAAATAGTTAAAGTAAATAGTTAAGTAAATAGTTAAATGAAAACAAGTAAATAGTTAAGTAAATAAAATATTTAAGCAAATGAAAACACAGGTCTAAAAATATTATAAGAACAATACAAAAAATAAAAACTCACCTGGCTCTCCTAGGAGGATAATTTTAAAATTATGAACTGCGTTTTTTGCCATTTTTGAGAATTACACGAGTCTACATATTTTAGCATAAAATTTTATTTTTCACACTCTTGAGCGCACAATACTAACGAGTTTCCATACCGGAGTCCACCTAAACCAGATCAAACTCATTCTAATTTGTTTATCTTTTTCTTTCGTTTGAGTCACCAATCGCATGATGAGCGAATCTCTTTTTACTGGTGTTGTCAAGAAGTGAGTTGCATGCTCATTCCAAAACTTCAACCCAGTATGATTCGTAAAATTTGAAAAGTACCTGTTAGTTTTAATAGGAAATACTAGATTCGATAGTTGAAAAGGTTTGATTCTAACTCTGTTTTGTCTGTCTGTTAAAAGTACCCACTCACTTACAGTCACTCGAAAAAATAGCTGAGCACCGTGACCCTTGCAAAATAAAATTGGAAACGCAAAACGACACAATAAATAGTCTCAAGCCTCGATTCTCACTGCTCTTTTGTCGTGACACCATGATTGGAAACGTTCTCACTGCCCTCTCGTGAAGCAGTNGTGCCACGATCAGAATCTGATGTTATGCTGTCTGAAAAGTTTTTTAAACTTGCCGAATGGAAATGGACAAAAGAAATTGTGAACTTTTACACTTACAGAAAATAAATGATGAATTTAAAAATAAAAAGTTACGATAAGAGTTTTTATCTGAAATGCCCCATTTTGTAAGAGAGAAAAACTTAGAACTCGAAGAGCATTTAAGATGATGGCCTTCCCAATGTGAAACCAAATTCTTAAACATTTAGTTTCACTTCGAAAGATAATCTTTCTTTTCTCCAAAAACTATCCTTATGTTATGCTCTTATTTTTTTCTTTTCTATTGTTTTGAAAAAAGTATTTTGTCTAAATTTCTATTTTTAAAATAGTTCATCTAAGATTTCTATTTTTGTATTCTTTCAATTAGCATTTTTTTTGTTCAAATTGAAATACTGATGAGTCGATTTGATAAAAACAGTGATCTCAAATATTTCATTTATAACAAGATGTAAAAAAAAAAAATTGAATGAAACAATGAGCTCAATAAATCGAAATGAATATTAAATTTTGAAAATTAAATTGAAATAATGAGCTCAACAATTGAAATATTCCTTTCATTCATTTAAATATTGCAAATTTATTTGAAGTAATGCTCAATAAATAAAGACCTGTGTTAGATTCAACAAACTTGATTGAGAAAATGATTTTATTATTCAAATAAATTAATTGATTTATTGGTAAGTTTGATTGATAGTGTGATTTTAATTTTTTGAATGATGATTAGATTCAATAAAAGGGCCATCCATTAATGATCTCACACTTTTTTAAAAATATTTTCCCTCCTTACCTTGGCTACTAAATGACTCCCTCTCCCTTGTCCCGCTATTTTTTGATAGACATAAGCTGCCATTTGAGAAATAGGACTATGATATCATATTTATGGAATCATGTTTTTAAATATGTGTTTCATCGTCATTACTGATCATATAAGTTTTATAATGATTGTGTGAGTTCTTATTGTAATGAAAAATATGAAACAAATATCAAATATATTTAAGCAGTTGATTTTAAATGTCACACTAATTGTTATGATCGCTTCTTTGTCACAAACTGTCACATTTACAAAGAACACTTTTTCTTTTCTCTTAAGTGCGACATTTGTGGACGACCCCGAATTCGGTTGAAATAATAAATTCAATAAATTAAAGAAATATTAGATTTAGTAAATTTGATGTAAATAATGCTCAATGATGCTAAATAATGATAAGAATTAAAAAAATTGATTGAAAAAATTTGATCATTATTTAAATTAATTCCATTAATTTAAATAATGATTAAATTTAACAAATTTGTTTGAAATAATGTTCAATAAATCAAAATAATAATTAAATTTATCTCATATGTTTAAAATAATGATTTTCTTTATTTTAATTATGTTTATAATAAATTTTGCAAATTTGATTGACATAAACTCGAAAAATCAGAATAAGGATTACATTTAGGAGATTTTGATTGACCTTATAATGTGATAAATAGAAATAATAATTAGAATTATGGCGTAAAAGATATCATACCATTAAAATAAGTTAATCGAAATAATCAAACTAAATAAATTTAGATGAATTTATAAATTTATCCATGGAAACAGTTTTCGACAATATGTTTCGGAGAAATGCATTTCAATGTATATAAAAAATAAATAAATTATTATGAGTTCAATTCTTAAAACCAATGTTTTGTAATTGATAAGAAATGATGAGCATTGATAATGATTAAACAATCCTAAAGTATGTAGAAAAATAATCTAACTAAAACATCTTCTTTGTGTTGATCATATATATTAGGGGGACCGGAAAGTAATGTCGTTTCGGTGTATTTGATATTTGTGATCAAGATATTATTTTTAATCAATAATGTATTCATCCTCGTTAGCAACAACCTTTCAATGCCGGATCGAAAAGGAATCGAAAACAATGAATTGGTTTTTAAGACTAACAAATATTTATCACACCGAAACAACATTACTTTCCGGTCTCCGTAACTTAAATGAAATAGGTTTTGTGTTTAGTATTTTGTTGAATACTTGTATTAAGGATATCTGTAGTTTGGGATTATCTGTAACTCGATAATTGCGGTATAAATGAATAAACAAGAAAAAAGATTACGTCCATGTGACAGTGATATCATACAAGTGCGGGAAGTGACTTTTATTTATTTTCTACCACTGGGAGAGCATTCGACACGGAAGCAGGTTTTGGAATTTGCTGACAAGGAAAATTAATTAGCAGATGCTCGCAATGATTCATCATATTTAAAGCACCATTTGATAAAATGGAGACTTGTCTCTTTTCGAAAATGCCCGCTAATACAAATCATGAATTTAAAATAATCCTCCTTGGCGAATCGGGTAAGTTTTTTCTGCAAAAAATTTTTGTAATTAATTTTATACTGTTCTAAAAAAATTCATTGTTCAATGTAGTTTTAAAAGAGTTTACTGATCGTTGCATTTAAAAGTGTGTTAAATAAGCTGTAAATTGCGTTCATAAGAGTTGTATGCGCTATTCAACTTAAATTGGATTCAAAAGAGATGAATGCGCTATGCAATTTATATTGCCTTCAAAAAATTAAATGTGCTTCACACTTTAAATTGCATTCAAAAGTATTAACTGCCGAGTTCTCAACAAGTAAGTTATTTCCAGATGTAATTTAAAATGAGTTTAGTAGAATTTCAATCTGGTTTCAGTTTAAATTGAGTTCGGAAGAATTTATATCTTGGTTTTAATTTAAAATGAGTTTGAAAGAATTTAATTCTTGTTTCAATTTGTATTGAATTTTGATGAATTTAATTTAATGAATTAAAATTGAGTTCGGAAGAATTAAAAAACTTAATACTTAATGTAATTCCTATTTAATTCGTGGGTCGATGTCATTAAATTTAAGTTGTATGATGCAATTTAAATTGAGTTTTAAAAAGTTTGATGCTTGGGGCAAATCAAGCATTAAATTCTTTTGATTGATTTAAATCAATCAAAAGAATTTAATGCTTGATTTAATTTAAAATATTTTTAAAATACTACAACAAAATTTTTTTATCCTTATGTTTGATGTAACAAAATGTAAATTTTAAGAGAAAGTTAAAGATAGGCGGTGAAAGGGAGACGGTTAATCATTAGCATACATATTTCAGAATTTCTAAATTCATAATTAAACATTATGACTTTTACAAAAGAAAAAAAAAAAGGTTTTATTTTTTTTTGCCTTTAAATTCCTCTATTCAATTCGTATTAAAAATATAATTTTTCTAACAATTTAAAAAAAAAATTATATCTTTACGTTTTTAGTTTTTATGACAAAAGTTCGAAATAATATTAATATAAAATAAATAAATATAACAAATCATTATTAAATATTTATGCTGTTTTGTCACGTAATTTAGGAATTCTACTTTGATTGAAATTTCGCTTATCTCATTATTGTCCAGTTTTCAAGTTATCATGAACATTTACTTTAAGATAACATTTTTTATCTTATCTTACTACTGGATCACTTGAAAAAAGCAGTAAAAATACAATAATTCAGCATATTTGACTTAAAATTTTGATTAAAAGCTTTAATTATTGAAATTATAAATTACAAGATGCTTTATTCTAATACTAGGGAGTTAAGCCCCCATCTCGCTGACGCTCACCAACCCCGATGATTGCTTGGCATGAAATTATTCAGCTAAAAATATATGCAACAAAAAGAGCCGACATTTCCCACGTCCAAATATTTCCCTTATGAAGATCTATAAGTGAACATTAAATCATTTTTCTACGTAATCATTTTTTGAAATAGCATTTAAAATTAAAAGTTTATTGTTGTAACAAATTTAGTGAGTTCACGACAGTACCGAACGGATGGATGTATATTTTAAATACAATTTTTGCATTCCTCACGAAGCTGAAAGTTAAGTTCCATATCGAATCTCTTTAACCGTCATTCATAATAGTATATTAATGTCATTTGTCCCAAAAATAATAATTGTAAAACGGTTAATAAAATCAGATACCGATTTAAGAAAACTTTATCTTATAATCCAACGTAGAATTACGTTATAGTAATAATAAATCAAACCCAAATAATAATAAATAAACCCCAAATAATAATAAATAAACCCCAAATAATCATAAGTAAAACCCAAATATAATAACTCTTAATTTAGAAAACAAACAAAATCAAAAACGTAAAATACTAACTGTACAGGTAAATAACTTTAAATTTCGATTTTGTTTATTTCAACCAATGAAAGAAAATCGAAAACTTAAAATTAATAGCAGATAATAGTACAGCAAGTAAAATCTATATGACTTGAAAAAATAACTATAATTCCATAAATAACTTTATAAATAACTTTAATTAGTTTCCTGCTAATGATAGCTTAACACTGTAACTGCTTCGTTTATTGTTTATCACATTATATGATTTGTTTGTTCTTAAAGAGTACTAAATACAGTGATTTCATTAGATGTTTACATTATACATGTTACTGCAAATGACCGAAATCGGTGGTTGTTGACCTCCGCTGGTGAATGTTGACAATCACATAGTCGCTTTGGTAATGCGAAATATTTACTAGATCTAGGTAAGTGATGCCACTGCTCGGTATGCCCTACATCAGTGGTTCCCAACCTTTTGTGAACCATCGCCCCCTCTTGGGGTTGGCTGACACCTATCGCCTCTTTCTCCTTTTGCTCAAAAAAACATTCATTGTTGCTTGTGAGCAACCAAACACTGAAAATATGCTATGTTATTTGATTTTAATTTTAATTGTAATGCAAATAAGGAGGCACATTTATCCTGTCATTTTTATTAATTAAAAAAAATTGTGCATCTTTTTTTTCCAAAAAGAAATGATATTTAAAACGGAATAATAAAAACAAAAGTACATTTTTTTAAATTCATATTTTAATGTAATCAAGAAAAAGTTAAAACGTTAACAACTAAAATTTGAGGGAAAAAAATTAAGAGGGAGAAAGTACATTTTTACCACTTTAATGACTGCCCTGTGCTTGGTGTATTTCAAGTTAAAGCTTGAATGTCAGGTTTTATGCTCGTCAGATTTAAAGGCAATTGAATCAAATGTCCAACCTTTCTCTTTGCTTTGTGAGCAGCTGGGAGACAGAACTAAATCCTCTCTCCACTAAATATGTTGACGGGAACGAGATGAGAAGCGGCTCAGTTTGTTTCCACAATTGTGGATAAGTATCCATAAGCTTTACCCAAGATAACTCGTAACCGTATTTTTTAAAGACGACTTTAGCCTCACAGTCATACTTCAAATCTAAAATCTTAGTCTACAAAGAGGAAGTGAGCTTATCCACAACTTTAAAAGAGAAAGGATCGAAAATCCAATCCGGAATTTCTAATTTCATCAAATCTTTAAATCCTGTAACTGATCAAGGTGATCAGTAAAATATAAGATTTTATTTTCGACAATCTCGATATCTGCCATTGAACTCTTTTTAAGAGTTGGAAATTGCATTAGCTCTTTGCGACCAATGTTTGACTTGTAGATATCAAACTTGGCGATGAATGAAGATGTGATTCCCTTAACTTTGATAATGTTTATTTCATTTGCTTGAAGTTTTACGTTGATTTACTTCATTTTTTCAAAACTATCTGTGAAGTACGCAGTTTCTAACTTGCGTTGCTTCGAACTCTCACTTAAAACAGGATCAGTGGTGTCGAGAAACTCAGTAACCGAATCCATCAATTCGAAGAAACGGCTCAGTTTCCTTTTGAAAGCCATCTCACGGCTGTATGTAGGAGCAGGAATTCGAAATCTTCATCATTTTCATGGCAAAGTTGTCGGAACAAACGGTTATTTGGAGAAGTAGCTTTTATTTTATTGATGCCAGGAATAACCAACTTTTCTCAGCCAAAAGTTGACGATGACTGACATAATGAATGGGGAGATAACTTCTGGTACTTCTTTCTTAAGGTGACCCAGAAACCCAATATGACAACCAGACATGGTTGGAGCTCCACCTGTTGCACAGACACTTACATTTGTGAGGGGAATTTCTTTTACCTCAAAATAGTCTTTGACCAATTTAAAAATCGACGATCCTTTTGTATCGGTGTTCAAAGTTCTTGTAAACAACATTTCCTAGTTAATCTCCTTACTCGCATTTATGAATCTCACATAAGCTAAAACAGCTTTGTTATCTATCACAGTTGATTCATCAATCTGCAACGCAAATTTACCTTCTTTCAGAAATTTAATGAATTTTGATTCAACGTCTACGGCCATCTCATCAGTACGCCTGGAAACAGTATTATTGCTCAGAGGAACAGAGCGACTTATCAGATTTACGCCTGCGATACCAAAACCTATGACGAAAACGATCCTGCACTTGAATTTTTTTTTAATTTTTAACTATCATAATTCTTTGTCGACACCAGAACCATTGGTTTCATATATATTTTTTAATTTCAATCTCAAATAGCTTTAATTATTAATATTATTAGCAATTTTTATCCTTTGAGTACTCGTCGCCCCCTGATCGCCTCCCTAAGGATTATCGCCCCCTTGAGAAGCTCTATCGCCCCCTTTGGGGCGATCGCCCCCAGGTTGGGAACCACTGCCCTACATCAATGTTTTTTTTTAAGGTTCAGTGCCACTGACCGGTATACATTCGCCCATTATACCCTACACTGGTGTTTTTTTTTTAAAGTTAAGTGCCACTACCCGGTATGCATTTAGTTAACCGGTACTCCGAACACTGATGTGTCTCCTGATCTATCCTCAGTAGATATTAAAATATCGAATAAATATAATAATATCAACGAATAAGTGAATATCAAATCGGATATAATAAATATTTCGGACTGTCATCATTGCCCTATGTGATTGGTGACATTGAAAGTCGACATTCTCTTGATTTCGGTCATTCATGATATTATACATACAAAGAAAGGCTATATATACACAAAGGTACAATATTTTTTTATTTTTCCTTAGGTGTAGGGAAAACATCCTTGGCTCATGCGTATACAACTGGAAAATTTAATCGTAAGTGTTATTATAGTTCAAAATATTTTTTCAAAGAGTATTTATTTTTATCTTTAAAGTGAAATTTAATCCAAAATACGAGGGTTGTTTTGTTGTATACACTAGTAGAGGTGACGCGTGCGTCGTCGCAACGAGTGCCTGCTTCTTGTTCTGGCATTCCTTGGGAACAACTTTGCTTAGAGTCAGCTGTGTAAGTAACCTGTGCGGCCAGTTCTTTAAAATGCGTTAAGTATAACAAGCGTGTATGAGATACTGTCAGTGATGCGTTTTTAGTCGGCAAAAAAATCTTTCTTCTGCATACATTCACCGACAAATTTGACCTACTGGTATGCTGACTGGAAATTTTGTAACTCCATGACAATGACTCTCTTCACAGCTCAGTCCTGAGCTTTGTTGGACTCTTTTGGGTGAGAAGTTTTAAACCCCCTCTCAATACAGTCCAGACCTTGCGTTAAGTGATTTTAATTTTTTTCCAATGTTTCAAACATCATTTTGGCTGGCTGCAAACAGTATTACATGACGAAGACGTGAAAACGGTCGTGACCTCTTTGTTTTCAGAACATTTCAAAGGGAAGTTACAAGCGGCAAGTTGCTATAAAGAGGATATTTTTAATTTAATTATAAGGAATGATAAGTGTTTAAGCAAATTTGGCAACTATTTTGAAAACAAGAGAAATGTATGTAGAATCAAAAAATATTTTTGCTTCATGAAAATTTTTCTTCGTTTGGCTTTTATTTTCAAACGGTCCTTGCTTAAAAAACAGCTCTCGTATTTTATTCTTGATTTAATAAATGAAATTTTAAAATTATTTTTACCACCATTGTACCTAATTAATTAATGCATACATTCGCAAACATTTCATGTCATTTTTTGACTCGGATGAATTTTAAATAATTTCTGCTCTCTATCAGGATGCATCCGACTGATGACTAAAAGCACTCTAAAAGTATATAAAACTAACAAAGACATTGAACTTTACTGTCAATGATCATCTATAATAGAAGATATATGCATCTGAACAATTTCGCCCAAAAGACTTAAAAAATAGTTCTTACATTATTAATTTATCCCATTCCTTCACTATTATTATTAACCAGAACTCACTTTTAATTTTCAACAAATGAATAAATAAATAAATAATATGAAATATTATTTATTTATTTTTTTTGCGAATATCAAATTGAGTTAAATTTCAGCCATTTTATATTATTTCTTGTATTAAAGGGGAACGAAAAAAACTTACTTTTTTATTTCAAAGGGAGCCTATATCCTGCACATTTTAATCATTTTTAGCTAATGCATACTCCATATTCAAGTTCTGAACTAAACTAGATGCTGTTCCAGGCTTGCGAATTCAATTGTCAGGCTTAAAATCTGGTTTTAAAATCATTAACAATGAAAAAGTTATATTCTTCTCATTAAATATTTTCAAAATAATTAAAAGATTTTTTATTGATTAATACATTCACAACTGGATACTTGCAAGAGATGCCACCTTGGAGTATGGATCCTGATTGTCTGTTGAAAAGTGGCATTTCTTTCAATTAAGCCTAGCCCTGTCAAATATGCTCTACTGTAATCGATTATCGTGTAGCGCGATAATCTCGCAATTAATGAATTCTTGAAAATTGATGAAATATGTAATTAAAACTTGGCAAAAGGAAAGAAATGAGCGACTCATTTCCCCCTTGTTTATGAAAATAGGCCAACAATAAAAAGCCTAACAACTGTAACATTAACACGCCATTTTGTTCATAAACAATCAGCTGGTAATGAGGTTATAGGTCAGGTGGTTGTGTATCAGCTGTCTTCTCCTTCTCGAATTGAAAGTAATTCATTGAAATCATATACATTATTTATAAAGGCGGAGTTCCACGAAAAGACTGTTAATGATTTAGGGTCGAAAAAATTGGATATCGCCGCTTTTTGGTGGTTTTTTTTTTGGTGTTTCTTTTGGCATTTCACAAAATTTCTAATTGTGTTGCAGCTAGACATCAATCGACAGTAGTGGCTGATCGCACTTCTAAAGAATTCACCTTTAAAGGGGTAAGAGTGAAACTTAGTATTTGGGAAACATCAAATCAGAACTGGTTCAAAAATGTCGTCCCTAAGTAAGTATTCATTCAAGTTGTCAAAAAATACAAAATAAAAAGATGACCTCAAATAAAACTCAAAAGACTTCGAATCAAATAATTAAGAAAACTCTACTATTACGTTTAATAAAAGGAAGATTTATTTACTCAACAACAAAATTATAGCATCGCCGTTCCAAAAAAAAAAAAACAAATCTCTTAGTCAAAAAACTATTATTTACATTCTAAACTTACCATGGCAACCACCAAAACTCTTCTCGTTGCCATCTTTAAATAGGAACAAAAATAGGCTGCGCATAAGCACATAATATTTCACACAAGTACTTTGTAAAAAGAATTTATGAAAAAAGAAATTTTTTTCATGAATCAATTACTTAGAATGAAGTTTGTGTTTCTTTTACTTTTAAAGTTAAAAAAAACGGTACATTTTGATGAATTATTAGAGTTAATCTTTATTTAAGTAACAGGTTTTTCTTTTCCTTTTTTTTTTTTTTTTTTAAAGTACACTTGTTTATTTTTTATCCACTAAAATACATTTTTTTTAGAATTTGTTTTATTCAGAAACTAATCTGATAGTTCTCTAAAAAATAAATAATTTTAAAATGATTTTTTACACAAGCGCGATCATTACTCGGTTAACTAGTAGAGTCATCAGATCTTATTTAGAACTAGCCGCCTAAGGCGGCCAGCTGTCCGCCACGCTAAAGGTTTTCACAAATAAAGTTTTTTAAAACATAGTAGGAAAGCGATTATCAGTATTGAGTATAGTTAAGTGCAGCGAGCTCTCTGTTTATCGCCTTATAGCTCTGCGATTATCATATCAAAGCGAAGCGTTCTATTTAACTACGTATCGAATATGCTGCCACATTTTTAATACAAAAGTTAAACTTTTCTCCACTTTGATAAATGTAAACTAATGCGAACCTTACAATTAAATTATTAATTCCTTCGTATATTATTGGTTTAAGTTGTCGAAAATTAATATTTCAATTGTAAGGTTCGCATTAGCATACATTTATAAGAGTGGAGAAAAGTATATGCATTTTTTAATAGTTTTTTGAATATGGCTCTTTGAAGACGAAAAAGCATAGATTTTCTTACAAAATGACTGATAACTAAAAAACTAATCCAAATTTTTGAAAAAGAAAAAAAAATACTTCTTCATTATGTCAAAACACAATTATGTGCCGAGTTTTGTGCCTGGGCGAGGCTTCTGGGGCGATATATTGTGATTACAGACAGACAAACAGACACACAGCCGTGTTTATTATTATGTTTAGATGACATAAGTCTTGATTGTTTCCTGATAGCTACGAGAGAAATTTTTTGTCATTTAATAGTTAAAAGAAATTTACCATTGATCCCCATTGACTAAAATAAAATCAAAAGAAATTTGTCTTCTAGCCGACTTGTTGAATGAAGTGTTCTTAAATGAACTGTTTTATGGAAATGCTTGTTTCAATCATTTCCTGAACATAATTTAGATCATCAAGTAAAATTCATTTTCAATTTCGACCACTTGCCAGACTAGCTAGAATTTTAAAATTTTATCAGGAGCTCTCTGTGTCTGATGCCAATGCAAGTCACAATTGTTTTCTAAATGATACAAACAAAATGTATTGTCATTGTTTTCAAAGAAATTCGGACCATTTTTTTTTAAGAAAAAAAAAAAGCAAACTATGGACTACGATTAAACATGCAAACTAATAAAATAATTATATATTTTTTTTAAATATGGTTTTACGTACATTAAAAAGAAGAATAACTACTCCGTCATATTTTAACGTAGAGCGTTTTACTTTCAATTCTCATCATCAATCTCCCCCTCCCCCCCCCCCCNCCCTCCCCCCCCCCCTTGTCTTTTGAAAGAAATGCGACGTACGCGTTTCCTTTTTAATCCGATATAAATAAGATTATTTCCTCGCTGTACATAATTTTATTTTATTTTATTATCTATCATTAACTGCTGGTACAGGAATCCTAAATCTGACTCAGCATCTTTACTATGCCTTCATATGTGAAGCTACTTTATTATACCTCTACACCTTATATGTATCTTTATAGCTATCACCATTCTAAAGTTATTTGTGTGTTACATCAATACTACCATTTATTTGATACTAAAAGCTTTTCTGTTTTAGCTACTACGATGGTATTTTCCTGGTCTATGACACTACAGACATGATGACTTTCAATGCTCTTTCTGATTGGCTGACACGATTAAAAGAAAAAAGTGACGGAGCTGTCATCCTCGTAGGTCTTTATCACTTTTGACGATTTTTTCAACAAACATCATAAATAATTAATGAAAAAAGAAGTATGATTGCCCACTGGAAGGGCAACGACATTCCAGAATATTAAAAAAGAAAAGGAAATTAAATCATTGAAAACATTTTTATTCCCATATATAGATAATTTAAAAGGCAAGTAGAAAATGCAAACATTTATACAGAACATCCCTTAATATTTTTAAAATATAGAATTAAAAAGCTAAGTGAGGGAAAAAAAATCCAGTCTGCGATAAATCTTGTTTTAAGGTTGTAAAAATCAACAGCATAAAATTCATTTTCCGATTAAAAATTGCTAGGAAACATCACTTCATTTACAAATAAATTTGCTTTAGAGGGTTTTAATCTCTATTTCTCTCTTATTAACTACCATAATGTAATTGCCATAATTTATCTTTTTCGTTCACTTAATTAATTTGCAACCCTAAATGAACATAATTGTTTTGTATATCATAATTTGCCAGGATTTTAAAATGATACATTAATGTGCCACTCTTAATAAGCACAGTTTTTTTTAATGTCAAATTTTGAAATTTTAAATAGTTACATTAAGAGTGGTCATTGCAAAACACCCTTCATACAAAGTTTTAATTTACGTGCGTAAGAAAGTACTGGGACCAGAAAATAATAATATTTGTTTGGGTTCATTTTGCCCAAAGAGGCTTTCCAGGATGCTAAAGTCATGACCATGTTTCATAAATTATTTTGTCGAATATTAAGCCTGAAAACTATTTGTTTTAAGGTTCATAAATTTTTATCTTACAGCATTCACAAATTTTTTATTTTTTTTTCCATACGGAGTAAAAGAAAGTTGATTTATTGACAATAAATCATTTTATATTTTATACAGCCGATCTAATGTTTTGGGTTCATGACTACTAATGTTCAACTCCGTAGCCTTGTTATTTTGAACTCAATCCAGTAGACAAGGGAACTCTTGGATAGCGTAATGGGAGAAATTTGCCTTCCTGGAGGACTTATAGATGGAGCTAGTCCGCATTTGTGTTGCATGGCGAGGAAAACCGCGAAAACCTCCCTTAATCTGACGGCAAGGGGACTCTTTCCCATGATCCGCCTACCACTGTGAATATTTTACATCAACATCGTGGTCGGTGAACGCCTGGTGCGGAATTCGTATCTACCAGCGATAGCTGGGAATCGAGCCCGGTTCTCCTCATGGGAAGGCTCTTTCCCCTAAGCCACCACGGCTCGACAATAAATAATTGTCGTGATAAGTTCCCAGTTAAACCCTTTTTTGTTAAATTGAACAGTTAGCAAGCATCACTGACAAGATTGAACAACCTCTGGGCAAAACTGAAAGGAGATTCTAAACAAAAAGTGAGAGCCATTAGATTAGAATTATTTAGTTACAAATTGACTTTGATTATATTACAAATAGACTTATAAACTGAAATAAGTTTTTATTGTTATAATAAATTGAATATAATTCAAGTTAATTAGTTTTTATAAAGTTTTTGAACCGAAATAAAAATTTTCAACTCCAAGTGTAATTTTCTAGATTTAATTTTTTCCCAAAGATTCCAAAAATCTATATAAGTTATAACTAAAATTGCAGTCCATATGTGAACACAATTATTTATACTGAAACCCAAAATGCATGAAATTCCCAAGCATTCGTATTTTAAATTAAACAAAACCATCTTGTTTTGAAAGACCAAACTTATGGACGAGTACAATAGTCGATGGAATTACCTTAATTTTTGTTCAGTTATTAAAATTTTTTTTTAATTATACAATCAACTTCGGAAAAAATTGCATTTTGGCAAAATATTGGGAGGTGGGGGAGCTCGTGCCCCCCCATACCTTCCCGAAGCTACGCATATTGGCGAAACCATTATGAGAACAGAGGTGTAATTCATACATAAATATCTTTTTTAGTGAATATTCATGAATAAATGATACATTAAATTAATTTGCACTTCTTTTTAATAAATTTTCACCTCAGCTAGACAAAATTTGTTTTTGGAATTTATAAATCAAAAGATAACTTATTCATAATTTATTTATTAATACAATAATTCAATCAAATCAATTATTAACGAAATCAATTACAAGCTCAAAAACATTCAAATATGAGATAAAATAATTTTGTGATACGTTATAATTTAAATAATTGTCATAATAAAAGAGGTCTCAAAATGTACGCAAGATTTGAATTAAATAGAAAATTAATTAATTTAGTATTGGCTGTAAAAAAATTTTTTTGATAATTTACAGTCTAGTGTTAGCAGGGCCCGCACTAAGGTTTTAAATTATTAGCCAATAAATTATTAGCCAAATAACAAAAGTATTCGTCAATTTTCGAAAGTGTTCTCCAGCATGCAAATCTTAAAAATGTTTCGTGATTAATTTTTTTCCCATAGGAAACTATTTTAAAATAGTTTGTTGCAAGCTTATGTTATTTAGACCCAATGCTAATTGGTTATGCGAAGCACCTACCGAAAATTACTTTTAATCGAATAAAAAATACGGATTGGTATAAAAAAAATTCGTTTTGACGTAATTTTGGATATCGAGTTAAATTATATTTTTCTTTCTAGTAGAAAAAATTATTTTCAATACTCTCGCTAAAACACAATTTTATCCGCCAAATTTAGGATTTTATGGCTTTTGGCGAGATGAAGAATGCTTAGCGCGGGCCCTGTGTTAGTAAAAAATGCAGTTTTCATTATTGAACAATGCCTCAAAAATAATGAAATTTTAGCTGCAAAATTCGTACAAAATAGGGTCGGAATATTGATTTAATTGTGAAGAAAGTTATTGAGAAATTTTTGGACACTGGATACAATTGACGATGCTTAAGCCAAAGAATATAAAGGATATACTCCCCTCTACATTCTTTGGCTAAACACTCTGGCCGTCCTATACACGTGAGTTTCAACATGAGTATTGGACAATATAGTAATGGTTTCAATATGATTATGGTTACAACGTGACGATTCGATATGCCATACAGTGTCCCTAGATTGTGTGATTGAACACTGTTCAATTTCTTTCTAAGGGAAGGTCGATCTCTATCTCAACAGATCCACCGCAAAACTCGTGCATTGAAGAAATAGAGAGTCAACGCTGAATCTATTAAGTTCTGTCGCATTTATGTTAAATGGCATTGGAAAATTACGATAAAAGAATAAGTTAACGCCAGAAAAGCTACGGAACTCATATGCACGATGTGCTATGCATAACCTTATCCTATGTCTCAGTATGAAAAAAATCTATAATTGGAAAAAATGTGTTTATTCAAATCTAGCACAAATTTTGGGACACTCTTTATATTAATAATTTGAGTGAAAATTTTGTCCCATTATTATAAATATTTGTTTGAGTTTTTCTAAGATGGAAAACTTTTTTTCTTCTTTTGTCTATTGAACGTAGCAATTAACTAACAGCAGTGAGAGTCGAACAAATTTTTTTGACTCCTTTGAAGTTTTCTTCGACACCATAGTTCTTCTCTTCACTCAAATGAACTTTTAAAAAAAAAACTCGTTTTTAATCGTTTCACAGCATTTAGTGAACATTAAGATACAAAATTCCAAATTTTAAATGTTTTCATAAAATCCTTTCAATATTATAAAATTTATAAAACAAATATTTTTTTTTCAATTTCCATTTCTTTTTTTTTTGTTTCGTTTTAAGTTAATTTTTATAACAGTGTATTATTTGAACAGTTGGAAATAAGATAGACCACCCAGATTGCACTGTCGTACCACGTGATGTAGCGAAGAGATTCGCTGGAGACGAGGATTTAGAATTCATTGAATCTAGTGCGAAAAATGGTGACAATGTAGTTCATGTGAGTATTAATTATTAAATAATAACAGTAATGATTAACGACAAAAATAATGAAAATAATATTAAAAAAATTAATAATTTTCAAAATAAATTTTATTTAAAATGCAATTTTCCAACGTAGTTTAGTTGTTTTGTGAATTATTGCAGGAACAACCAATGTCAATATTGTGTGACAGGTCAGGGAGAAATAGTCACCATTTTTATCAACAAAGGCAAATATGAGGCAAGGGCAGACATATCACGAAAAATTTGACGTCCAATTTTAACAAATAAAATTTTCAAGAATGCAGCAAAAAAGAAAAAAAAATGGGAAGCTTACTTTACTTTTATTTTTATGGATGTAAAATTTTAAAACAATGGTGTAGTACTAAATATGAGTATATATTAATTAAATTTATTCAATGGTTATTGGTTTTAAAGTTAATCTTTAAATGAGTATAGTTATAAAACAAGGCTATCAAATAAACTAGCAATTAAATATTTTCGACTCTTACTAAATTAAACTATTCACATTAAATATTTAATTTATATAATTATTAAAGTCACATTTACACAACAAATAGGGTAAAATCATAATTTTGAGCTCCCACAGAATTAATCTTGAAAGGGAATTGGGTACTTGCACTTCAAGACGAAGAAGACCCCCATACCCCACACATGTGACCTATGACGTCAGCGCCGACTAATCTTTATCAGCAAAACGTCACTTACAAGTATGCCATTGCTATTTATCTCCAAGGAAATAACAAGCTGTAAAAGTGGACACCGTCACGTCCAGCTTTTTTCTGTACAAAGATTTAAAAAAAAAGGCACCACTGTGGTCCAATGTAACAGCATTTAAACTGTGTTATAACCTTTTTTAATTTTCTTTTCTTTACTTTCAATCGCAATTCAAGGAAAGAGTATTTTCCCCATATTTTGAAGTGTATTTCATTTATTATTTTTCTTACTATTATAGTTTTTTTTTTCCTTTTAGATTTTCGAGCACCTTACTTTAAAAATTCTTCTCACAAAGAAATTGGTTGTCAATGAGGAAGTAAACTGTGAATTATTTACGAGTGCAGACCAACATAATGCTGAAGATGAACTTAGAACTGAAAAACTTCAGCCGTTGAACCTGAAAATTCCAAAACAATTAGAGACGAATCAGAAGAACAAACTCCAAACAAAATGTTTAGTTGCATGTGAAGTCAACTGTGAGCTTTCAACTCCTTCCAGAAATAGATTGGCAAATCAAACTAATAAACCTGAACTGGTTCAAGAACAACATCAAGAACCTATGTCAGATTTTCGAAGAAATAATCTGGAGTCAACCCATCATAACTCCTTCAACACGGCTCAACCAAAAACCAATCCCTCAAACCAAACCAACTTCCAAGCACTAACTGCCAACAGTGATACATTGACTAATCAAAATTTTAAACATGAACTTTTAGATGAACAGTCAAATCTGGAATCTCAGAAACGTCCGCAAAGATCTGACATGCAAAACTCAGCTAATAACGCAAGTAACGAAACACGCAATACATTACAAAATGCTCAGCGGAGAGCATTCAGCAGCGGGAATGTCCATGCAAACATACCTCAGACAACTCCAGCTAATAGAGATGATAACGATACTGAACAATCATTAGGTTTTCTTTGTTATGACAGTAGTTTGCTATTGACTTTCTTTCTCTTAAATAAAAATAGATGATAAACAATGTTTTACTTGTCTGTATGTATGCTACCTTGAATGACCGAGAGAATGTCGACTTCTATCAGTGAATGTTAACGATCACATAGTCGCTTTGGTGAATGTGCGAAATATTTGTTATATCTGATTAGATATTCATTTATTCGTTGATATCATTATAATTATTCGATATTTTAATATCTGGTGAGGATAGATTAGAAGAAACTTCAATGTTCGGAGTGCCGGTTAAATGCATACTCGGAAGTGGTATTTGACCTTACAAAAACATTGGTCCCGCAGTGGACTGATCATTAAGACACGGTTCCCAGCAGATCACCGAAGTCAAGCATCACTGGCTACGGTCAGTGTGCGGGTGGGTGACCACTTGGATCAGTCTGCGTAGGGACCGAGGGTGTGCGGTATTGGTCCTCGTTAAACTGTGCTACCGTAAAGTGCTCGACTTCGTGCGCAGGTCGTCGGGCTACCGAAGCGGGGGTGCCATCCCCTCCGCAGAGGATCAAAATTGTGATGGCATGTCTTCGGATCATCCTCCGGGATGTTTCCCAGACCGTCGCCAATAGCCCATTGTTCAGCTCTAGTGCGACGTAAATTAACAACAACAACAACAACAATACAAAAACATTGACGTAGGGCATACCGGGCTGTTACACTTAAGCATATATGGCAACGTTACTTTTAAAAAGTGACGAGTAAAAGTACAAGTATTTTTAAAAAAAGTAACGAATAAAAAGTAATAAGTTCTTATTTTAAAAAGTAATGAGTAAAAAGTACAAGTACTAAACAAAAAAAGTAACGATTTAAAAGTACATTTCTAGGAAATCGAAAATTCAAAGTAACCTAAAATTTTATTGAATAATATTCTTATGTTCTTTAATGTTTTTGCAAAATTGTTGTTATTTATTTAATTATTTTTTATTTTGAAAGTTATAGACATTAATTTATTTTTAAATTCGGAAGAATATTATAATATTATTTTATAATATAATCGTATAATTTAATTTTAAAATCAAATATAATTTTAATATAAAACTTTTTATGGATTTGCACGAAAAAGAAATTTTATCTATTGATTTTAATTTTTAGTTTATTATTTTTATTTATTTAAATTACCATTGATTTAAAATTGTTTTACTCTATATGGAAACGCGTTTTAAAAGCACGAACATAAACAAAGCAAACACGGGGTTGCAGATAGCTTTGTGATCTTTGAGCTAGTAAAAAATAATTGAATGTGCAGTATAAGCTGAAGCAGAACAGTTTACAGACAATGGCTAATGCTGAAGTCATGCGAGAAAATCATTTTCCGAAAATTTCTGCCAAACGGAATAATTAAAATTTGTAAACGAATTTTAGTATCGGCTAAATTAATACCTTCAAGTTTTCAAGAGTTAAAATAGTAATTATGATAGTTTTCAATAGCACAAATAGTTCTGAAGCTCTTAGAGATTTGACTGGGCGTTATTTGACAAGGTCGGGCATAAACATAATTTTAGTAAAAATATACTAGGTAAAAATGTATTTAGTAAAAAATGTATTAAGACAAAAATGTATTATTAGTGAGTTCAAAAAGAAAATTGCAAAACGTAATAACAAAATCCTACATTTTTTATTTAAAATGTTTTAAATAAATGCATAAAACTCGAAAATGAATGAAAATAACTTGCTAATTAATAATTTTTTTAATTCATTTTGCAAAATAATTGAATTTCGAAAGTGGCGTCACTGAGTCTGCTGCGAGAATTTCTCAGAACGTGCTTAGCCACGCTGAATAAGCGGAAAGACAATTTTAAAAGGTCAAGGTATTTAAACACGAAGTTAGCTGTGAATGTACATATATTGCACATTAATTTTATAAATTAAAAAAACACAAGCATATTTTTTAAATTCAATTTTTTTTACTAGAAAGCTTACCGAGTTTTAGAAAAAAGTAACGATTTCATTCGACATTTCCGTTTGCGTACTTTTTACTTGTACCGGCGGTACAAGTAACGAAAGTAAAAGTACTGCCATATATGCACTTAAATAGACCTAGTATATATTTCGGACATTTACCAAAGCTACTATGTGATTGTTAACATTCACCGGTGAAAGTCAACAGCCACCAATTTTGGTCATTTACAGTATATATCTATATATATATATATATGTCACGGCCAAGCTCGAATTCGGCCACTTCGAGAATTGGCCGGCCAAATCTCGAAATGGCTAAGAACGTTGTAAATTGGCTGGCCAATGTCCGATCTTTTCTTGATTTCGAGAATTGCCCGGCCAAATCTCGAAGTGGTATGGGAGGATCAGCCAAAGTTGGAAGAAAAAATCATTGGCACGTATTATTGGCTCTGTAGAACCATAACTTCATTCTTTAAAAATTACTAGCTGCGGTACCCGCAGCCAGGCCCGTAGCCAGGGGGGGGGAGTCGGGACAAATCCCCCCCTCGAAATTCAGGGATTCAAACTTTTTAGTCTTTCTTTGAGCCTCTCAATAAAAATAAAATAAAAAAAACTGTCGAATCAAACATTTTCCCCGTACACTCAGTGTTTTAGAAGACATCATCAAAACGAATTTGCCGAATGAAAAATTCAAAAAAATAATATCTTTTTGCGAAACAAGATGGATATAGAAAACCATGATGCAATTATTATATTTAAAGAACTTTATCCAGAAATAATTCAACTTCTCGAAGAAGTAAAGACTTCTGGAAACTGTGATGCTTCCTCTAAAGCGGACAATCTTATTTCTACTATCACTAAAAGTGAGTTTCACATTAATTTACTTATTTGTAGAGATATTTTTTCTGTGACTTAGCAAAGCACTCCAACAAATTCATCCAGATTTGAATGGAGATTTGATACATGTAAAATCAATAAACAACACAGTTCTAAACAAAAGAAAAAATGCCGAGTATGAATTTCAAAAGCTATATTCGGAACTCCTTAATACTTTCACAGATTTGGATCTAGATGTAAAACTTCCTAGATTGGCATCCTATCAAAATCACCGTGGCAATATAAAAAATCAGAACATGAACCCAGAGCAGTACTTCCATCAAAATTCAAGCAGTACATTCCTTTTTTAGATTATTTCGCTGCCCAACTAATTGAAAGATTTTCGAAGCACGAAGATACTCTAGCATCTCTCAATAAAGTGTTACCTAAGTATTGTGTGAACGTTAATATTAATTTATGCAATTTCCGAATCTACGCAGATTTCATTGACATCGAAAACCTCATTGGGAGAAATGGAAATATGGGCATCAAAGTGGAACCTGCGTGAACCCCTTAGTAGACCAGATACGGCACTTTCAGCAATGGAAGAATGTAACAGTATATTTTTCCCAAACATTTATTGCTTGTTATCAATATTGGCTACGTTGCCAATCACCACAGCAACTGCAGAAAGAACTTTTTCTACTCTGAAACGCGTAAAAACAGCAACAAGAAATGCTACTAAAGAAGAAAGGCTAAGAGGGCTAACTTTATTAAGCCATTTTTTTCCATTTTTTGCCATTTTTTTCGGGATATTCCGGTTTGTCCTAAAAAAGTAATCGAAAAATTTTCTTCAAATCCCCGTCGCATGTCTTTGTAAACTTTGTTTACATATTAATTATAATTATTAAGTAATATTAATTGAAAAATAATTATTATGTAATATTTTTAATTACTAGTTTAACTTTTGCAAACAACAGAATAAACAATATTTGTTACAATGTTTTTCCCCTACTTTGCATGTCTGAAACCTTCCTTGCTTCTTACCATATCCCCCCCCCGAAAAAATATCCTGGCTACGGCCTTGCCCGCAGCTAACTGCGGTGGGATGTGGCCATTTGAGACAAAGTAAAAAATTAAATTTTTTATATTTTAATTTAAAAATTTGTCTATTTTTTAATATTTTTAAATTAGAAGATTTATATTTTTAAATTAAAAAAAAAACAAAAACAAAAGAGGCAATATTAGCAAATTATCTATTTGATAAAACAAATATTAAAAAAATTGTGGTCCCACCGTACCATCCGGTATGTGAAAAAGCATACCACTACAATTTTTTTTTCTGTAAAGTAAAAGTTATTAGAAATACAAAAGATATTAAAAACGTGGCACATTCCCGCCGGAATTGCAGATGCGCCGCCTACCGGACATTCTTGATTGAGCACATCGCGTTTTGGCCGGCGGAACATCGTGGCCACTTCGCGAAATGGCCGGCCGAAGTAGAATATTCACTGATCGTTTCAATTACATCGCACTTTGGCCGAGAATGGCCGGACTTTGGGCGTTGGCCGTAACACACACACACAAAAAATTCATAAAATATCTCTATTTTTACGAATTAATGGTTAATAAAAAAGTGGTTTACATGATTTTGCAAAAATATTACATACAGTAATCAATACTTGAAATAAAATAACGAATTTAAGTGTGTGTGTGTGTGTGCGTGCATGTATATGTGTTGGAATACCATGTAGTGGGTATCCAAAGGCTTTAAAATTACGAAATTTAACATGAAGAAACAAATTACAAAGCTAGATTTTTAATATTTCAATTATATATTTAATTCAGAAGTATTTAAAAAATTAAATTGTTTCTTTGGTTTACCGGACTTTGGTTAAATTTAACTATGAACAATTAAATTTTGTCAAATATTTTAATGGTAACATCAGTGTTGCTTGCTTTTAACAGCTCTTATAAAAAAAAACGTTGTTTATTACGTGTTCTGTCAAACATAATTGTTTTCGTTGTTCCAAATTATCTGATCGTAGAAGCATAAACGGACACCAAATAGTATTCCTGAAACAACTTGTTTATTTTCTTTAGTTACGCTTTTAAAACGTGTTTCTATGAAACTAATACATTTAAAATCAGCAATAATTGAAATTAAAAAGAAAGTTTGTAAAAAGAAGTTTTTAATAAAGAAATGGTACTAATTCGCCGAGGATAAACGTAAGAAAACGCTAATATTATTATTGACGAAAATGATAATTCGCACTTAAAAGCAAAATTTATGAAGAAATGGTACTAATTCGTTAAAGAGAGCTTAAAAAATCGTCAAATTATTATTGAAGTCAATGATGCTTAGTTTATTTGTTGATATACTAATTAAAATAAAAATAAGATTTTTATTGGTTCAAAATATCTTAGGAGTAAATTTGGTGCTCATAACAGCTTCACCAATACTGTACATGTTTATGATAGATATTTATAAAATTTGGCCTATTCTACTACCACTCGAAGATATAAGTACAGGTGAAAGTAGCTTGATTATAGTACATTTTAGCTATCATGAGTTGCCTCGTGCAGCTGTATAATTCTTGATAGTTCTGTTATACTTTATTTTAATGGGATGAACTACTAAATATATGTTTTGCAATAACGTAAAGCTAAAAAATATAGAAAGAAGTCCAGCTCTTCGAATATGTAACTAACACGGGAACTGATCTGTGTGGTATGCTATACCGGAAAAACAACTTACAGGGCGAGCAACATACTCAGATTTAATAAGAGCATCATATGCACTAAGTTTTTATGCATAGGAAGCAAAGTGATAGTTAAAGGGTGCGCTACCCGTGAACCGGTTGTTGGACAACTTTACATGTACGGTTGCGTACGCTGTCCTCGTCAACCGCCATTTTATTCCTTCTTTCTATCTCAAAATATGTTAGAAGATTGTATGGCTGATATAAATGCATTCTAAAAGATATATCTTAATTAATAGTACAGTACTGCATGCAGAACAAACCAACAATAAATAAAAGGAGAAAGATTTTAATCTTCTCTCCAACCCCAGTAGTAGAAGTGGAGGTTAAAAACCCGTTTTGAAAACCTCTGCTGTTGTGCCCATAAATGTTGTTTTTTCCTTCATACGCATGGACCGCACCAGACCTAGGGGGGCCGGCTCACATTATGTTTATCAAAGCTAGCCTTCTCTTATAAAACAACCAAGAAGAGCAACAAATAAATATAAATATAAAAATTATAAAAATAATATAACTGCATTCGACTTGCAGTTTTGTGCATGATTTTATAGTATTGCTTAGTACTAATTTATTGATTCATTTTTCACCCCGCACGATGAACGAGTATTCGGCTAGGACATATTATATCTATAATATTAAAATAAAAAAGTGTGCCGGTCCGTCTAGATCCCCCCGGGAAAAGAGAGAAGACCCCTATATTAGTCCCTGGATTTACCATAAACCCTTTTCCTTAAACAGAACCGAAACCAAAGCAGAACTAAAGCCAAATAGAGGATTTCCGTACTACCGATCACCGGAGCGGAAATACGAGAGCTTGATTGGTGTAATTATCTTGCGTGTAAAATTCACCAATCACCTTTTCCGTCGTTGGTAATCGGAGCTGCGTGATTATTTTACAGTGAAAAAAGTTAATTAGATTAGACACAGTAATGGGTTGGTGGATGAATATGAACAGTTTAAACTGTTTATTTCTGTTTATCTGGAGATCTTGAAGGATGTAGAGAATTTTTGCAATTTGAATGTGCTATTTATTCTTGAATGAAACAGAAGTAGAAAGCTCAAAGCTTTCCATTACACTATAAATTGGTTTTTGTTTATATTTAGCATTTGTTCGGTAAACTGACGAAGTTCTTACATTTTAAATTAATTTTTTCCAATCAATCAGATCAAGTACAACTGACAACAATATCATTTTTTTATGCGTAAATGAATGCTATTTCAAAATTCCTCTTTTCATAATATAGGAAAACAACTGACGAGTTTAATGAATATCTTCTTATGAAACTTATGTAAACTAAAACTAATTTAAGCGTATATTATCATCATATATTGCAAAGCGTTTTTTTTTAGTCTCTCATGGTAAAATGTCCACGGAGGAAGAAACAAAAAATTTTAGTACTTTAAAGAAGTCTCATGCATGCAGTGAGTGTGATAAAACATTTGTGTCAAAGAATCATTTGATTAATCATTCTCGTGTTCACACTGGAGAGATGCCCTATTCTTGTGGCATGTGTGATAAAAAATTTTCACAGCAATTTAATCTGCATATCCACTTTCGTACTCATACTGGGGAGAAACCTTATTCTTGTAATATTTGTAATAAAACATTTACAACACGAGGTAACTTGAATCTGCATTCTCGTGTTCATACGGGTGAGAAGCCTTATTCATGTAGTTTGTGTGATAAAACGTATGTCCGCAAAGACCACTTAATTAAACATTCTCGTGTGCATAGCGGAGAGAAGCCCTATTCATGCGACGTGTGTGATAAAACTTTTATATCAAAAAGTACTCTTCATCTGCATTCTCTCGTTCATACGGGAGAAAAGCCTCACGCATGCTGCGTTTGTGGTAAAACTTTTCTGTTGAAGAAGTATTTAAGCCAGCATTCGCGTGTTCATACTGGGGAGAAACCATTTTTATGTAGTGTATGTGATAAGAAATTTTCCCAAAAGAGTGCTTTAAATCTTCATTTTTCTCGTTTTCATAGTGGGGGAGAATCATAGTAACACTATTTTAACAAAATATGTTTGTTTACTCTGTAACTATCTGTTTGTATTTGAAAATAAAAGCTTTTAGTGGATATTTCCGTATTGTGATTTGTTGCGCCAACTACAATTCCCAGGGAACCAAGTAGATTTTAAACTTAATTTTTTTCTTTTCTTTAAAAAGTCGATGTTTGCCTGGAGGTGACTATGAGTTATACCTTTCGAGTTGGTCCCTTTCTGTGATTTTTTAATTATTTTTTTTTAGCTTTTCACGTGCCACTGCCCGGAAATTACGATTATTCTGCCACAGATCACGATACGAAATCTCTCCAGTTTTATTATATTATTTATTGAATTTTTTTGATTGAAACATTTTTTCTATCTTCATTTCTGTATTCATACAGGAGAGAAACCTTTTTCATGCCGTGTTTGTGATAAGAAATCTTTACAAAAGTGTGTTATAAATCTTCATTTTTCTTGTTTTTGTTGTAAGACAAAATCATAGTAACTGATTTGATGAAATATCTTCTGTTTACTTTAAATGGTCCTTATTTTGTAGTAAGTACTAAAGTTATTTATTGTATTTTTCAACCTGTCTTCAGTAGCTTGCTTGACCCAAGGTTGTCATTTTCATAAAATTTTATTAAAACAGTTTTTTTTATTTAAATCAGATAATCTTAAGTCAAATCTTAGTTTTTTTTTTTTTTTTAAATAATTTTGTTTTAAGCACATATATATTTTTATATGCATTACTCCATGCTAGTGATTATTCTTTATTTCTTTTTAAGAATATGTAATTAATGAAAACTAATTTAGGGGATTCATATCTCTGTTATATGCACTAAGTATTCAATGATTCTACAGTATTATTTCTTAGCATTATAATTATTACATTAAATTGAATTAACGTAATTATTTATTGAATTTCAGGACATCAGATTATCTTAAAAAATTTATAGGAAAAAATATCAATTATTATACACTTTGCATTTTTCGACAATACTTTGGATACTACTTCACATGCAAGAAAACAGCATTAACGGTATAACAGACCCTGCAGCAGAATCACGACAATATTGTCACAGAACATTACGGAATTCTTGCATAAAGAATTTTCCTTTAGGGAGTAAAAAATTTTGGCTTTCTTTTCTACAGAAAAGTTTTTTTCCTCAAAAATTATATTGAAAAGATGCCTTTTTCGTGCATCGAAGGAAAAAGAAATGCTTGGGATTTTTCTATTCATATTTGTTGAGAAGAATGAAAAATAATGAATGTGAAGTCGTGAAGTAAAAAATTTACTTAGTGCAGAAATGTTCAGAAGATTTACCCCCCTCCGTAATCATATTCAAAAGATGCCTTTTTTATGTATCAGATGGATAGAAAAATGCACCTTTCTTTCCTATTCTTATTTAAAAACAATAAAAAAATAAAGAAAACTGGAAAAATTTTGATTTTCTTTTCTACTGAGATTTTCGGAAGATCATTTTTTCTCTAGAAATATTATAGGCTTAATTCTTATCTAGAATATCATAGAAATATAACAGGCATATCATAAAAAATACAATAATGAAACATTGAAGTTATTTATGTGTGTTCTATTTCTTTCTTTCAAAATGCCTTAAAATTGTACCAAACCCTTAACATGGTTTTGGCGAATGCACATTAATATAAAATTTATTACATATTAAATTTCTGCACATTCAACAAATTTACTTGGCATATTACACAAAGTCAATATTCCTGGTCACTATTCAAAACAAACATGCCTCTGACCTAAAAATGATAGTATTGAAACCCTGTAAGGTAATGTCCATGCTAAGGTAATGTGCATCACTTGGAAATTAATTCAAACTTTCCTAATTTATGTGGGTAGTGTAGATAAATAAGAAAAAAACAAAAAAAAGTAAATTTCAGGAAAGTAGTGAATTTCGGTTTATTCAGTGTAGTGAATTTCAGGAAAATTATGCTGAAACAGTAAAGGTATGTCAAAATCTTTGCTCCTATTATTTCCCAATTACATTTATCTTATACCCAATACATTTATCTATCAATTACATACATCTTACCCAATTACATATACCATTACATTACATTTATCTATGTGTACTCAAGCACAATGCAAACCTCCTCCCACTCTGGCAGTTATTAATATCAAAGTTGGCTGGTGAAAAAATCCAAACAAAGGGGGCAGACACATAACAAATTAGTAAATTAAGTTATTTGCTTATTGAAAAGAAATAAACAAATGAAAGTATTACAAAAGTTATATAATAGTGTTGATTGGTAGGAGTAAAAATGATTATCAAGAGAAAAAAATTGCTTTCATATTTTGCAGTAATATAACATAAAAACATGTTTTGTCTATTGAATTTTAAATTATTTTTTAAAATATTATTAAAACAATAGCTAATAGTTTTGAATTTTTCTATAGCTTTTCTTTATGTACACAATTCTTTCACAATATTATTTATTTATTTTTTTGTTGAAATAAGGTAACTGAGTAATGAATGTAAAACAAAACGTTCCTGATAAAGTTTATCTGAGATGCTAGTTTGTAACATCAATTTTATAGACTGAAAATTTATAAACTTTTTTGTGGACGTTGTGTTTTTTGTCTTAAAAATTAAATCATTTTAAGCTAATTAATTAATTTTGTACAACTTAAAAAAATCTATTGTTTTTTCAATTTATTTATATTTATATTTTTTGATATTTGGTAAAAATTGCTTGGTTTAAATCGTGTCCGAAAACCAATGCTTTAGATTAAATGATTTAAATTAATATAACTTTTACCAGTGACTGATCTTGCGTTAATTGAGAAGGTTGCTATTCTTCTTTACGAATTGTTGCAAATAGGCAATTCTTTAAACAATTGAATGTGTAATGAACTTACATTTAAAAATATCTGCATTAGATGATCTGCATCAGTCTAGTAAAATAAAAATTAATTGAAATTATTATTCAACTCTGCTTTTTTATTGTTTATTTTTTGTTCATTCAAATCAATGTTCATTTCAATTTTCATTTGTCCAAATTTTGATTTCCATTTATCAGCTTTAATATAAGAAGCAAATTTTGGAAGCAAATTTTATTGAAATTATAAGTAAAACGCTTTTAACTATGTTGAATTTATTTTATTTAGTTTCTAACCCATAAATATTTTTATATCAATATTCTCACACTCGAAAGAGAATTTTATGCATTCAATATTGTAAAGTTATAATTTGAAAGGAATTTAAAGAACTGTTCTTGTTTTCGTGTAGAAAAGCCACATTCTTGTGTTGTAAATAAAAGTACTCAAATTGCAATTTAATTTAAATATTCTTCTCATGTTTGTACTTGACACAAACCTAATTTGTGCCTTGTATGTGTATAATGCATTTCAGATAATCTTATTTTTGTAGTCATTTTTATTTCTTATTTTGCCTTATTTTTTTCTACATTCTTATTTTGTAATAGATTTTATGTATGAGAATATGGGGAACTGAAAAAAAAATATAGTAATATTCTTATAAATACTGTCTAGTTATATTCTAATAAAAGCAATATTCTTATTTTCATAGTCTTTTTTATGTCTTAGTTTGTCTTATTTTTCTTTATAATCTCATTTTGTAATAGATTTTATGTATAAGAATATGGGGAACTGAAAAAAATTATAAAATTTTTGCCACTGGTTTGTAAAAATCTGGAAAAGTAAGGAAAAATGTTTTTCTAAGTATTTCTGTCAGCCTTGTCTAATTTATAGCTAAATTATTTAAATTGGTTCCTGAAAAATCCATTTTCTAATTTCTCTAATTAAAAATTTAAAAAAGATTGCTCAGGTTGAATGTTGCAATATGTCTGTGTAGGTTACATTGATTTTAGCATATCAGTAGTAGATCTTGCAGCATTTTTATATCATTTATTTTGATTTCAGCTTTCAAAAAATTTCTTTAAAGTTTAAACACACATAAAATGAATCTATATCATGCAGAAATTCTAGCTTGAATTTATATCTTCAATTGACTTAATTTAAATTTTGAGACAATTGTTCTAAACTTCCTTCTATAAAAGTAACAATATCGTCGGCTTCTGAATTTATCAATCTTTTCACTGTAAACATTTTATTTGCAATCTTGATCATTAACACCATTATTACAGGTGCGAAAGAAAAATTTTTTGCTTCATTTGGGGTAGGAATTTCATAAATTTCATCATTTTTAATTTTGTACCTCAAAGAACCGTCCACATAGATCTCAACTGTTTCACTATTTTTATCGTTAAATTCATACACAGTCTTTAATTCGAGTTCTTCCATTATTAAAACGACGTTTAGCACATTGGGTGATCCTTCCTTCGAACAACTGGCAATCACTTTTCCTCGCCAAAATTCAGAATAATCTTCATCATCAGTGATTACTGTGGCTCTCATTAGGCTAGTGCACTTTAACGTTTTACCGTCTTGCATTTGCAATGATTTAGTCCTGTTCGCATCGATGGATATAACATCATCCTCTCTTGACGTTCCTAACATTTCTGCTTTGGTTAATTCATATAAATCTTCATTGAATAAGTTTGGTAGAGTTGCAGCTGCTGGATTAGTTTTGGAAGAATCTGCATTAGTTGTAGTGCTTGAATCTTCAAGGGACACCACGGCAAAGAAACAAAGGTTGGCGCAGGCTGAGTGTTTCGATTCTTCATTTGGTAAACCAGGTTTGTTTTCTTGTTCTTCAACGCCGGTGTTTGTAGTCTGCAGTTTTTCGGATGATTCTTTCTGTTCTGAAGTTGACTCCTCACACTCGTCAGTTGCCGTAGCGATGAGAGTCCCCGAAGTTAAATTTCCACTATATGTTCTTTCATTATTAGATCTTACTGACTTCACATTGCTTTCAGATTTGGACTTTTTAAGTTTTGTATTAAATAAGCTATTCTGTCTTGAACTAAATTGTGCGTCAGATTTGATTTTGCGAATGGGAAAGATCGGGATTTGTAGGGAATATTCGATGTTGTAAAGTGGTTTACGATTTTCACTTTGGCTAGGGACTTTTTTATAATCGGCCAGTTGCTTGTTAAAATTTTCAATCAAACCGGCATGTATTTGAGGCTGGATTTCCAATA